TGCCATCAGGTCTCATCGTCGGCGAGTCGGCCGGCGATTTAATTAACAAAAATCTATAACTTTGATGTAAACAACTCACGGCACGAGCCCGCGTTCTTTTTCTCAAGCAGTGTTACAAAGTAATGTAATCTGCGCATGTCTGAGATTTTCATGGGGTTACGGTTTCCATGGGTGGGGTACCTTTCCGTGAGGCCTAATTTTAACTTGTGCGTCCTTTTAAGTAACACAGTATGTTTGCAATGACCAGAATGCCAAACTGGATTCTTTGATATTGATCTTCTCCACTCTGTACGTGGCTCTAGACCTGAGTCAAGGAAAATTATCGAGGAAGCGCCTTCCGATCGCCTTTGTTTACTTTATAAGTCATGCAAGCGTATGACGTATCATACGTTTTAAGGACAACTCGCGATTTATTTTTGTATCCAATTGTTATGAAAACCTTAAATACTTTAAGTGCAAGATAAAAAAAAAGAAGTTTGAACGATCAAAGATATATCTTGGTCATTTTTCAGAATGATGCAAATTAGCTTTGACACGTGCATGATTAAGTAAAGACATTGATTTACGTTGTTTTCAAGATAATGGTGGATGAAAGCTAGAGAGTTACCCGCAGGTTTGAAGCAATCGATAACCTCATTGGTGTATAAAGTATCCTCCGATATGTTGTTTTAGTCCGATTTACGCCTGCATTTTGAGAATTCTTTCTTTTCAATTGGTTAATTTTTTATATGCAAATTAAGGTCGGAGGGAAGGGTCTATTCTGATCACGCTAGTATGAATAGGATTTCAAGGGAAGTTTCCATATTTTGTCCGTGAACTGACTGATTATAACTTACAACTTGAGGCGAGAGAGAATTCCGTGAACTACACTTTTACAGTCGCAGCGGGCTCGACAAAAGCTGTGAAATTTACACTTTCGATCGTAGCCAAAAGTCAATTTTCGCTTGTGGCGAGGCAATAAAAGAGAATTGGAAAACAAACACTGTATTTTTGAAACATGTATCCTAAACCCTTTTCATAGGAAAAAAATTAAGAAAAATTTTTTTTGGAGGGGAAGTCGAGAGGACCGCTCTTAGCAGGAGTGGCACTTAATGTCGAAACTCAGTTTCGTATATTTATGTTCTCCTTTTCATGTTCCCTTTCATTGTCATGATTCAGTTTATTCTCACTTTGGCATGGTGTTCTTTCCTTCCCTCCGATTTATTACCTTTCATTAAGGAGTCCTTTACCTGAGAACAAACGGTCGTTGGTTTCACAATAACCAAAAAACATCAAAAGTACTGCATGATTACATTTGTTCCTTGGAGAGTTTCTTTTGGAAAATGTACTTTTAAGCAATTTACTTAATTTGATCCAGAAAAATATTTCGATTTAAGTTTAACTGCGAAGGTTTGGAGTATTAATTCGATTTTATTAGTATTAGTTCGGTTATTCTGCGACTTTGATGTACCATTTAGTGCACTATTGTATTCACTCAGTTTGACTCAGAAAACTGTGAACACTAATAAACCACACAGTAACCAGTTGCACGCGAGTCTATAAAAAGAAGAAATTAAACCACAGAGATAAGCGATATCGTCATTACCCACGTATCGTTAAAATTGTCGTCTGTTCCTTTTTTAAAAAATAATTACCTGTTCCTTAGGATGACTGTTTTTCTTGAAACGATATAAAAACCCATAAATTAAGAAGATTGCTCGAGGCGTAGCCGAAAGCAACTCCTACGCTTCTTTCGTGCATCCATAACTACCCGCCTGCCGCCATTACTCGATATACGTAGCTAAGCAGGAACCAATTATTTTTTTGAGGCGTAGCCAAAGCAACTCTAACGCTTCTTTTGTGCATCCATAACTCGATCTATCCTCGCATATCCAGTTATGGCTACGCCTCTCGTACCGTACAAACTTTCCGCGCGCATCCATAGAGTAAAAATAACAAAAATGACAAATTAAGAGATGGTTGATGCTTACCGTTCGTAAGTTTAAAGAGCACGAGGTACTAAGCGTAAGAATTACTCCAGGCGTAGCCAAGCAACTCTTACGCTTCTTTCGTGAATCCATAATTCGATCCTACGCAACTCTTACGCCGTTCCCTATTGCTTTTCAAACTTCCCAAGTCGCACCGAGTAAAAAAATAATTAAAAATAGTCAATAAGAACCAGAAATCATTACAGTAAGTGTTGCAATCGTGAGAGTTATTACAAACATCAATTTATAGAATTCCAATAACGATTTAGCCACTCTGGAAGAGTTTCTCGGATCACTGGCGATCTGAGTATCCCTATTTCTTTCGGTCAAAGTCAGGTTTTACCGGCACTATTTGTTTGGGTATAATCAGGAAGTCATGTGAAAACTATAATATATAGCAGGAAGCGGTTAACCAGAATATGGAGCTATCTGAAAAATTATCCCGGGATCCTTCCTTCTGTTTGGCTTTAGGAAGAAAAGTAATATTTCCATCTTTTGGATTAAGGTCGTGATCACTATAATTACTTTGTTTTTCGGTGTGCTTTTAAATAAAGAGTTGAACACAGAAGACCATGGAAGTCTCATTAGGAATAGGGTATCTATGCTATGTGGGTCAAGATAGTTTGGTTTTATCAAACGAGTTGATAATGTAAATTAGCCACTGTAAGGAGTTCTTAAAGCTGGCATTTCGAGCGTTAGGCTTTCTATCAGTGTACTTACCCAGTTTATAAGTGGAGAACTCGACTCACAAACCTCTATTACACTGAGATCTTTAGTACAAGGAGTCCCCACAAATGGCAAACAACATAAAAATCTCCTTTATTGGATCGAACCTAACTTTTTCTCTCAGGCGAAGCAACTGAACCAATCCTCTTTTGGTTACCAGTCGTTTCGTGCCCAGTCGATCTGTGCCCAGCTAGAATCACTCGCACCCATTCATTTGAGTCGTTTTGTCTCCATACTTATAAGGTGTGTTTTCCATGTTACGCTTGTTTAAGGTGAGGTCTGTTCTTATTTTAAATAGGAATATCACCTGCGTTAAATACGGTTTGTTTATGTAGCGTCCGTTTTGATAAGTAAGCACCAAATATAAGGCCTGGAACCGAAAAAGGGCGACCTGGGAGTGATAAGAAAGACGTGAGGCACTAAGTACACTTTCTTCGATGTTTTAACATTTATACGCCTGGATAGTTTGATTTTAGTTTGCGAAGATATGCTACGGCCTTATCTGTCGATCGTATCGATGGCGGAAGACGAGAACAATACGAACGAAACCATTAAAGTGTCCTTAGTGACCAACAAAAAATTTGTCACGCGAATCGTTTAATCGAATCGAATGCATCGGCCATTTTGTCGCTCCGTATTTTTCCCTAATCTACGGCGTAAAATCGTGGCATGTTTTGTGCGTTCTCGTGACCATATTTGGTAAAATGACACATTTGGAATAATATTGGAATGATAATAAGCTGTTTAACTGTACCCTTAAAAATATCACACTTTCCTTTCATAGGTAATAATTCAGTTGTTTTTGTTAAGAAGGTCACAAGTATGCACTACGGCTTTTTTTTTTCAATTTTACTTGCTTGACTCTTCCAAAGTGTATCCGTTCACGCACTCGTGCGTAGGTTATAAATGAATATTGGGACGGCTAAAAATCGGCCAGCGGTTCGGGTCTGAATATTGACGGAGTTTTAAAACTGTGTACGAATCGTCTGAGCTGGTCACTATGATGGTTCTGCAGCTGCGTCGTTTGGTGTTTAGATGTCTGGACCCCACATCGGACGTAAAGATTGTGTGGGTCCCAGTTCTCGCTTTCACAGGCAGCAAAGTAGCAGTAGTAAGGCAGCCGCCTTAAAGAACTCGTACTTCTTTCATATTCACAGCTCGTTGTACGAATTGTGGTGCATATATCTTGAGGGGCGCAGATATATTTGGAAAGAGATCATCATCGCACTCCTTAAGAGCTTTGGCTGCTGTATTTGGCCTGTCTTCCTTCGGTTTTGTGGAGTATCTGAAAGAAATAAGAGACAATATGTACTGTTATCTCTCACTTACCCATTTGTGGAGTTTGTTGTGTAATTTTGGATATTAATCAATTTAGTTAACTGTGTTCCACCTGATCTGGAATCGAAGACGTTCTTGACGTAAAAGCTCCGGCGACGGGAGATCATCTTTGAAGATGTTGATGATCTCATCGGCGTTTGGCAAATCCGGGCCGGCCCTGTCACACAGCACTGATGGTACGAGACAGAGGAGGCCTGGCGCCAACACAGACAAATCTGTTCGGAGGAAAGAAGAGCCTCAATACTTCAGTCGAACAAAGAAATGAACGAGCTGATGGGGTGGTAAAAGGAAAAAATAGCGATTCAGTAGAGATTTAACCCGAAAACTCATTACCGGAAAATTTCTCATCTAGTTCAGCTTTGATATGGTTAATAAGTGGAACGGCCACGTTTCGCTAATAGCACTGCTCGGGATTCTCAAGAGGGGCATTTCAACGATGCACATTGACGTTACGTGCCACCTTCACTGCATGCTTATAGAAATGAGCGAATTTCTCGTCCATTTTAGACGCTATTTCGTTGTAAGTCCTCTTGGCATCTGCATTCTGGAAGCCATTTTACAGTGTAAATTCTCGCTCTTTTAATTTGTCATTAATAAGGCTTTAATTTCTTTCTCTGACATTATTTTAAAAAAGAATAACGTTCCTTTCAAGATACCTACCTCTTGATATGCCTTGAGAGAATGTCAATTTACTGGCCCTGCAGCTTCACGGTGACACCTGAGAAGTTAGAGATGAATTCGTAGAGCACAAGAAATGATACAATAAAGTCAAAAGTTGCTAGATTTGCCAACAGTGCAACCGCGTCTTCTTGCTCTTTCGGTCCCAGGTAGCATCTTGGTACTCCTCGCCACACATCTCGTGATTAGCCCCACAGGAAATGTTTTCTAAGGCTGCAATGACGTAGAGGTACGCCTGGTAGAAATGAGTGTATGCCGTGTGGCGCGCGGCCCATCTCGTCCTGCACATATCGATAAGTCCGTTGCGGCGACTTGCCTCTGTTATGGCCTTCGTAATAATGGACTGTAGAAGACATGCGACGGAAAGGTGCACAATATTATAACAAGTTTGCATTCTTATCACAAAATGATGTCTTCATTATTTTTAATACATTTCCTTTTTAACATAATTAGTACTTAAAATGTAATATTAATTTGAAAACAAAATTACGAAATACTACAACATTATAACCACGAAAGATCAATGACAAGTAAAGCTATAATCCGCCTTACCCTCTCGCTTTGGGCTTCCATGGAAATACAAGCAGCATCGCTTCAGTTTATCGATCACATTCCTGATATGCGCTAAAGCACAGCTGTGGGAGTTACCAGATTCAGGCAATGACCACTACAGTGTACATATCCAGCCTTTAGCGAGTGCCCTCTTATTCGACGCTGAACCCCCACGTCATCACCGGACATGTTAGCGGCACCATCGTACCCCTGACCCCTCACTTCTCTATTTCCAGACCAAGACCTTGCAAAGTAGACACTATCGTTTCCGCTATTACCTCGCCGGTTATTCGAGGCAGATGAACAAAGGCAATAAAGTCCTCTCTGACATCGTTGTTCTTGTCGATGAAGCGTGCAAACAACGCTAGTTGCTCTTTGTTGTGACTCGTTACCTCGTCCGCCATTATACTGCAGAGCTTGGCAGCCTTGATTTCCTCTAGCAGATTCTTTAATACGACATCCTGTCCAATAATTTCAAGGATCTCATCCTGGATTAAAGGCGACATGTAAGTAATGTTGCTGCTGGAGAGTTGGATAATGTCTAAGTGTCGTTTCAAAATGTCGTCGTGGTTAGCTATCACCTCTAAAGCCGCTAAGAAATTGCCTGTATTTCCACAACTGTCTTTGTTCAAGACTTCATTATCTCCACGGCAGGGCAATGCATTGTCGACCACAGAAAAGAATGGCTTCTGAAACACATTTAACGATATGCCTATTTCTGATAATATTCTTCCGCTTTTCGTCATCTATTCGGTTGTTCACGTTTTGCTCTGGGTTTTCAACCAAATTAACGAAGGATTCGGTAATGATCATTGCATCGTGATGGTACTTCATTTGCTCATGTCTTTTTGCCTTTTCTTGAAGCTTGTGCCAGTTTTTGAAAGGCTCTTTAACAAAAGCACCCTTGTCTTTCCTGCAATGCATAGGTATCATCAAAGCACAGTGTTTACAGAATACTCCATCTACTGAAGGGCTGTAGACCATCCACGAGTACTCACTGAGGTATCGCCGGTCACTGAAACCCTCTTCGGCACTGATGAAGAAATCGCGTTGGAAACTTGAAGTTAATCGGTGGTACAAAATGATTTTTAATCAAGTTATACTTCTGACCAACTGGCAGCTTATTTGCGGGAGAACCAAATTTCTCAGAGGTCGTCGAAAACTTCCCGATGTCATTCTTTCTTGTTGCATCATTGGTTCTAAGTGATGCCGCGTTAGATTGTCATCAGTATTCTCAGGTACTGGAGCTTGCGAAGTCTCTACACTTTTATAAACAGTGCGGAACTGTTACTGAGAAAGTACACATCGGCTTTTCGTAGAATATTGTCATGAGATCAGGAGATGACGATAAGAGACCACCTGATAAGAGACCAAGAGAAACATAAAATTTATTTTCCCTGTTTGTCTGAAATACTTCTATTTTATGGTTTGGGATGCCTCTAGATTACTGCTTGAGATTAAGCCTCCCCCAGTCCCTCTTCGAATTGTTACTGTTTTTCCTCATTGGCTTTTTATTAAGCGAGTTTGTTTCATATCGAGGAATAACGACTAAATCTCAGAGCATAATAATGAGATCAAGACTGGTGGACATTGCGAAAATAAGTATGATTTTACCTTCTATATCTCGCTGTAAAACTGTACAGTAGTTAACTTAGAGGTCGAGACCCCAATTCCTGTGTTGATCTAGGAAGGTGAGAATTTTGAGTCTGTTTGCGAAAGGGTGAGGAGGAGGGAGGGGGGTGACTTCAAGAAAAGTGATATCATAAGAACGACGTCGATTTAAAAATGAACCCGTCAGTTTGACTCACGAAGTTCGCCCTCTGCTTCGTTGATTTGCTAAATATTTTTCGTGGCTCCATTCCTTCCTTCAGCCGAATGATCATGTGACCTTAGGGAGAATTTAATGTTGGAGAATTCGTGGCCGTGGTTCATGTTGAAGTCTAACCGTCCATGGTTCATGCTTTTAAGGTGTCAAAGTTTTTGCAATTAAATATATATAAAGGGGATAAGTTCCTAATGAAACTAGTTTGGTGCTGCGTCGTTGGGAGTAACAAGGTAATTTTAGTTTTATCAACTGAGTTGATAAAGCAAATTGTCCTCCGTAAAGAGTTTCAAAGCTGACGTTTTGAGCGTTGGCCCTAGCCCCGCTCTGATGAAGGGCTAACACTCGAAACGTCAGCTTTGAAACTCTTTACGAGTATGTATGACTGATGAGCAAGAGCTTATCCATGTATCTGGCAACATGAAGCGACGCGGAGTATAACTGTCTTCCCCTCACCCCAAGGATTTGTCAGATTTCCCTGAGAATTCAATAGTATCCACTTATCATCCTTGTGAAGAGAGGCGCTGTGAGGGAAAAGTGTCTCTCAATTATAATCACCTTGGAAAGGTCTCCAATCGTCTCGAATTCGGATCTTTCGATCATGCACACAAAGCGAAAACCGCTCTGCCGCCGCGTCTTTATTCAAAACAATAAATGCTTGAATGCCACAAATAGCGTCTTGAAAGTACTTGCAACACGATACAAGTTGATTTTTTTTCTCCGAAAGCATTCATTTTGTAGAAATAAGTGGACATTGATGTCACCACGTGACACATAAGTCACGTGACAACCATGTCCACTCTGCACTTAGTATTTACCCCTTGAGTCCATCCCAGACCAAGTCTTGAGCGGTGAAGTGGGCATATTGTCCATGTATCAACATCGTTGGGTCGTTGGGAAACAGCTGCTGTACTCAATATCAAGTCATACTCGCCTAAACACCAGTGAATGAAAAATGAGCCAAATGCCCTGCTATTTCCTTGTCACATGACACCAAAGGTACTATTCGCTTATTCCCTTTTCAGTATTTTGGATTATAGCCACAATCATCCACAAAAAGATATTCAAATGAGCAACAAATTTCCATTCTTCAAAATACTTAAACTCAGTTGTGTACTTGTTGCGCACTAAGTTTTATTAGATGAAATTAACTGTGACGTTACGTTTTATTGCTAATTGCCTTTAGTATAATTTCAGAGATGAACAAAGAGTTTCCATCAATCTGATTGGTCGAGCGGTTCCTTATATGACGCTATATAAACCGCTCCGCGCGGTTTATATAAACTGTTAAACTAAAATGTTAATAAATGTTACTAAAATGTTATGATTTTAGAAATTTCTCTGTTGTTGAGCTCTGAAATTATACTAAAACAATTATTCGCCTCAGGTTCGGTGAATATTGTCGAATAATCCCCTCGACTTCGTCTCGGGGATTATTCGACAATATTCACCTCGCCTTCGGCGAATAATTGTTAAATATGCAGTGACAAGTACAAAAAATATGAATTTTATCTGAAAACAAAACCTCCCATTCGCATTCTTTGGATTTCATATAAAAAATTTTTTGCAACTTTTCTATTTAAGAAATCTTAAACCACTTGCATAACATGAATATAAATCTAACAATTGCGTGACACATAAGTCACGCAGTGACAACCATGTCTGCTTCTTTCTTCTAACGTATTGCAAGTACTTTAAAGACGCTATTTGTAGTATTCAAGCATTTATTATTATCACTGAAGCTCACAAACTGGAAATGATGAACAAAGTCGGTCTTTTCTTTTAGTCGCCGACTTCGCCAAAGAGCCAAATTTCTATTAATTTAAAGCCCTCGTATGCATAGCAGCACAAAAACCCCAGTAAAACAACTCTACAGACGGTAAGTTTATCATTTCTACTTCTCAAATTTCAAATACTAAACGTTTATTTCACTAAGCACATATAAAAAAAATTTTTTGAAGCTACCTACTTTTTACACGGTACTTAGGTAAATACATAGAAAAATCCATATTTTATTTCAGATTTAAATAACAATTCTACTTTTTTGGTGAAAACATAACGGAAACATTGTTCTAAAATTCTGTGGAATAAGTAAATTTTCCCCTGCTTTTACAAGTACAAACGAGGCCTCCAAAAATAGCCTAAATTCGACCTTCGAATGAAGCTACGGATGGGACCTTCGAATGATGCTACGGATGGGAACGGTGCAACTGTCAGAACCATCCTCTTTGACTTCCGCAAGGCGTTTGACCTCATTGAACATCAGATCCTAGTTCAGAAGCTCATTTCATACGATCTTCCAAGCGGAATAATTGACTGGATAGTGGACTTTCTGTCCTGTCGCCGACAGCGTGTTAAACTTAGTCAGGACTGTTACTCGGAGTGGGGGGCCATCCCATCAGGGGTCCCACAGGGCACAAAACTTGGCCCCTGGTTATTTACTATTATGATAAACGACCTCATCATCCCGGGTACAGACATGTGGAAATATGTCGATGACTCCACTATTTCTGAAACAGTCATGAAGTCTGAGGTCAGCAAAGTCCAACAAGCGGTTGACGAACTCGCGACGCAAGCTTCTGCTGACAAGTTCCAATTAAATGAAACCAAGTGCAAGGAACTGCGCATAACATTCAGTCACTCTAGAAAGAACTTTGATCCAATTAAGGTTAATGATCAGGACTTAGAGTGTGTAGAGCAAGCAAAGATCTTAGGTTTGCAGATATCTTGCGATCTCACGTGGAATAATCACGTATCCGAAGTTGTAAAGAAAGTAAACAAGCGCCTGTATTTTTTGCGTCAGCTTAAGCGTGCACAGGTCAAGTCGGAGGAACTTTTGCTCTTCTATTTGACTTGTATTAGGCCTGTCACTGAATATGCATGCCCTGTTTATCATCATAGCCTCCCGCAATACCTTTCAGTAGATCTTGAGAGATGTCAAAGGCGAGCTTTACGTATTATCTATCCAGATTGTTCGTACAATGAGGCGCTTCTTTTGACTGGTCTAGTTCCCTTACACAACCGCCGCGAGTTCTTATGTGATAAGCTTTTTAATTCCATCCTGTCTAATCCCTCGCACAAGCTCTATAGCTTACTACCTCCCAAGAATGAGTGCGAAGTCAATTTAAGGAGTCAGCACTCTTTTACTACACGGCGCCTCCACACCATTCGTACTCGAAATAGTTTTATCCATCACTATGTCCATAAAGCAATGATGTAATATTGTTTTTCTCTTAATTATATATTTTTGTCTTTTTAATTAGTTCTTCTTAGCCATGTATTTTTTGTAGTATATATTTTATTGTAAATCAAACGTAATTCAGCCTGTGGCTGCAAGGTTTTTGATNACTCCCGTGCTTTCTAAGGTTGCTGAAGATTTCGTCGTGGAGAGTTTCCTCAAGCCTGTTGTGTTGGCGAAAGTGGATGTACGGCAGTTTGGGACTGTGCCAGGTTCCAGTACGACACAAGCACTAATAAGCATGGTCCACTCATGGCTTAGTGCTACGGATGGGAACGGTGCAACTGTCAGAACCATCCTCTTTGACTTCCGCAAGGCGTTTGACCTCATTGACCATCAGATCCTAGTTCAGAAGCTCATTTCATACGATCTTCCAAGCGGAATAATTGACTGGATAGTGGACTTTCTGTCCTGTCGCCGACAGCGTGTTAAACTTAGTCAGGACTGTTACTCGGAGTGGGGGGCCATCCCATCAGGGGTCCCACAGGGCACAAAACTTGGCCCCTGGTTATTTACTATTATGATAAACGACCTCATCATCCCGGGTACAGACATGTGGAAATATGTCGATGACTCCACTATTTCTGAAACAGTCATGAAGTCTGAGGTCAGCAAAGTCCAACAAGCGGTTGACGAACTCGCGACGCAAGCTTCTGCTGACAAGTTCCAATTAAATGAAACCAAGTGCAAGGAACTGCGCATAACATTCAGTCACTCTAGAAAGAACTTTGATCCAATTAAGGTTAATGATCAGGACTTAGAGTGTGTAGAGCAAGCAAAGATCTTAGGTTTGCAGATATCTTGCGATCTCACGTGGAATAATCACGTATCCGAAGTTGTAAAGAAAGTAAACAAGCGCCTGTATTTTTTGCGTCAGCTTAAGCGTGCACAGGTCAAGTCGGAGGAACTTTTGCTCTTCTATTTGACTTGTATTAGGCCTGTCACTGAATATGCATGCCCTGTTTATCATCATAGCCTCCCGCAATACCTTTCAGTAGATCTTGAGAGATGTCAAAGGCGAGCTTTACGTATTATCTATCCAGATTGTTCGTACAATGAGGCGCTTCTTTTGACTGGTCTAGTTCCCTTACACAACCGCCGCGAGTTCTTATGTGATAAGCTTTTTAATTCCATCCTGTCTAATCCCTCGCACAAGCTCTATAGCTTACTACCTCCCAAGAATGAGTGCGAAGTCAATTTAAGGAGTCAGCACTCTTTTACTACACGGCGCCTCCACACCATTCGTACTCGAAATAGTTTTATCCATCACTATGTCCATAAAGCAATGATGTAATATTGTTTTTCTCTTAATTATATATTTTTGTCTTTTTAATTAGTTCTTCTTAGCCATGTATTTTTTGTAGTATATATTTTATTGTAAATCAAACGTAATTCAGCCTGTGGCTGCAAGGTTTTTGATAATAAACTATCTATCTATCGAAGCTAATTGTGCGTAAATTGAGTTTTATCAATTTTCTCGAAAACAAAAGAATTTTTCAACAAACTACATAAATTATGTCTTGGTTTGTGTTACCTATAGGCCCACCTAATACTAGAATATGAGCCAATTCGATTTTTTGACTTTTGCCGGTAAATGTTTGATTTTTCCTGACAACCTCTGTTAAACATTTTTCTTGCATGCTCCGACATCATCCTTGCAAAAGTCGAAATGAACGTGAATTTGATCGAACTGAATATAAAATCCGTACTCGATGTCGTGCGTGCCGGAGCCAACAACAGATCATGAACGACTAGCATTAACGGCCAACTGAAATTATCCTATCAGTTCCGCAAGACGAAACATCTAAACAGATTTCGTTAGATCGAAGGATGAAACACACCAGAAAACTTAAGGCATAAGACTTGTGGACCACTGCAGAGAGAAAGAAATTGAAAAAGGTTTTCAGTGCGCAAAAAAGTTCTTTTATATTTCTACTTACGATCCTTCAATAAATCTGTGGAAGTCAAGCTCCCCTTCACTAGTGCGCAGATGGAAATCAGGAAAAATCTCTCCAAGGTTCACCATTTAAGCCGTCAGTTTAGCTGTGCGTGTTCCGACTCAGTTAGGACTGAACTGCCCTGAGTCCTTATGTCAGGAAGTGCATCTACTTAAACTATTTCTCCACAGGGGAATGTAAATTGTGTCTATTTTATGTCAGCAGCCCAAATACCAACACGTAAAATGACATGATCCGGCTGAACGTAAAACACGCGATGTTAACCCTGAGGTGGACAATGTAGCCGCTGAATCGATCGGTTAATTTTAGAGTCTTTTAACCCAGGTTCATCAAATAAACGTCATACAAATATGTTTCTGAAAGTAGGTACAGTCGAAACTTGCAAACGCGAAGCAAAATAAAGCAAAATGAAAGTATACAAAGCTCAAATAAATTGAAATGTCGAACACCTACAAATAATCTGAGGGTTCGTTCTCAAAGTAACTGAAAAATGTTCGTCGAAATCGATAGGATGAAAACGATCCATATTCGCAATCTTCAGAACAAAATTCATCACACACATGTCCGAACAAGATCACTCGCTCGGCCTGGTAACAACTAGAGATCTGTCATGTTATAATCATGAAAGGTCCGTTTGCAACCTACAGACAATGTCCAGTTTTTTTCTATTTAGGACGGACGAAGTGAGAGTTCAACAACTTATTGTTAGGTTTATTGACCTTTTATCGATTATTTTCCACATTCAAATCTCTTTTACCCGCCCCCTTGTTTTATTTTCATTTCTTTTCATTTAAATTCTGTAAGTAGCCATTGTTTAAACAGCCATCACTATCGAGTGGCAGTGTCCACCAGTTTAATCCTTTCATTCCTTACATCTCATCACCAATTCTCCTTACCGTCTGCCGTAAAATTTGTAAGATATCAGTTCTGAGAATATGGTTTTGGATCAACTGATAATCTCCTAGATTACATTTCTTTTATCCCACCGGAACTCCGCTTGTTATTGTAAAAAGAAGCTCGACTTTGTCTTCTTCAGTTATGGGAGTTGGAGAGTGAAGAAGTCCCTTAGAAAAATCTGAGAAAAATCCCTCGGATAAAACCTGACAAAAAGAGCAACGTTTTCTGATCCAGTATCAGAATTTCAAGAAGTTGCGAAGTATACTCACGGGTATCGTAGGTCCGAGAAATTGGCCTATTGCTTCAGAAAGGCAGATTGGCAACATCTTCGGAATCTCTTGAATTACATCCCTTGGCATTGTGCTTTTCCTGAAGACAACATCGACCTTGTTTGGTCTGCATGGTCGGATCTACTACTATCGGCTGTTGACGAATGTATTCCAAAACACCAAGTTATAAGATCCACAAACGCACCATGGATTGACAACAACCTTATCAAACTTTGCCGAAAAAAGAAACTACTCTACAAGAGGGCTAAAAAATCGTCTATGGAGTCTCACTGGGTCAATTATCGTAAGTTTAATAATCAGCTAAAAAAGAAAAGTTAAATAGTTTGCCAGGATACATTGTCCACGCCGAATCATTGTCTGTTTTTAAGAGTAGACTTAAAATCTATTTGAATATTTATTGAATATTTATTGAATCTGTAGCCATTAAAATTTATCTTTTGTATGTTTTTAGTCAGGGAAATTGTTTTTATACAGGGCTAACCTCACGATTTTCCCTTTTCAGGATGTATTTTTTACATTTGCGTTCTAGCTTCCTGAACAAATGTTATGTTATGTTATGTTATGTTATGTTATACTCAGCAGCCGTGATATATTTGAAAGTTTGCCCCTACAAGGCACGCTCCTTTGGAGATTTGATACCGAAAGAACGTAATCGTAAGTCTCGGAACTCATTCATTCTGGTATATTTGCTTTATTATAAAAGCTAAGTCACAGGAAATAACAATCTTTTCATCTATACCGGAAAACCGAGTCCAAAAAGCTTCTCCAGTTTCTACAGTAACCAATTTAAACCTGAAATTAAAGAGAAGGTCGGTAATACTGTAGCCTTATCGTCCGCGTGGGAGTGGTACTGAAAAGGGTTGATGTCGAGAAAAGTGACAGACGTTTCTTAAGTGCTCATGACCTTGTCATGTTCTAGAGAACGTGAAGTTAACGCATGGGAATTTGAAACTTTGATGAACTCTATCAGCAGTGTCTGTCTCTTTATAGGAACAATAAGAACAGAAGTAATTCCGTATGCCGGGAGAAGACTGCTTAGTTCTTTACAACCTCTCTGCGCATTTTCGCGCTCATGAAACACGATCTCCGATATCTAGGTCGAAAGATCTGGATATGAACCCTCACCGCGAAATACTGTTTTTTTTTTTCTTGACAAGACTTTTTATTCTTAAAGTACTCCTCTCCATCCCCAGGTGTAAGAACGTGTAGCCACGATTGTCCAGGGAAACTCACGCTATGCTGAGGGAGAGGAGTGAATGATTTTTTAAACGATTATGCTCTTGTAGAAATGGAGTGCTAGTGGACGGTTTTTATTTTAGGGAATGGCCAATATTTAACGCGGGAGGGGGGGTGTGGAACGTTTTGCTCGTTTCAAAAATAAAATCTACCCGATCCTCCCGTAGGGTTCTGTGACTCTAATGATCCTCACTCATTGGGAATCAATTTTCACTCATTGGGAATCAATTTTCACTCATTGGGAATCAATTTTCACTCATTGGGAATCAATTTTCACTCATTGGGAATCAATTTTCACTCATTGGGAATCAATTTTCACTCATTGGGAATCAATTTTCACTCATTGGGAATTAATTTTCACTCATTGGGAATCAATTTTCTATACAGTCCCCTCCTGCTTTGTACTCTGTTAGCAACGACTGACTCGCCCCAAAATCCTCCAACACCCAAATAATGACTGGTCGTTTCGGGAGATAAAACTTCTCAACACCTTTTTTTACCTATTACCGGCCATATTTATTGGGTGCCTATTACATCACTCTACTTGACACATCTCGTTTTTTAATCCCTAAGTAAACCGCCGAATACTGCTTTAAGTAGTCATCCTACAAAAGAGGATACATAACACACCAAATAATGACTGGTCCTTTCAGGAGATAAAACTTCCCAACACCTTTTATTACGTATTGCCATATTTATTGGGTGCCCCTTACATTACTCTGCTTGACAAATCTCGTACTTTAATCCATAAGTAAACCGCCGAATACTGCTTCAAGTAGTCATCCTACAAAAGAGGAGACAAAGCCATGGTTAATAGAACTGTTGGGCGCACTTAATTTTCTGTACATTATCTTTTAGACTCCATTAATCATGTTTACTTAACATTAGGTCTTTGCTTGGATAAAGAGGCGCCGTCGAGGGAATGGAATAAGATAAAGCACTTTCACCCCACCTCTACACGCACCCCACACAAACTGCTTGGTGTTTTTTCCATCTTACGCGTGTTTCGAGCGTTTCGCTACCATTAATATTAAAGAAACATGAACACAAAGCATCCGTACCTTCAACATGGAAGGGTAATTAACTCGCCTTCTATTTCATCCCCATCCAGGCCTTTCATTTTCTGAAAACAGCGAAAAATTCATAACCTTGAGTGCATCAGTTATATTGGTGCGAATAAAGAAAGTCTCCCAGTTCTCAAACTCGTTCTCGGGCTCTACTTTTTATTTTCTCATGAAGCGCGAGGGAACAGAAGGGAAGGACTCGAATTGGCTCCGTAACTAATAATTTTCTTAAATAAGAGAAGTGGCTTCTGTGCGCGCTACACGGTTATTATATCACCATCTGGTCATTCAGCCGAAAACCTCTTCCTCCCATCCACCCACCAACATCAAAGATGACGACAACATGAACTTTCAGGGAGGAGCATATTGGCCAACGTAAGACACAGCATGGAACTCCCAGGAAAAAACTCAGCTTCCTTCCCAAAACTGATCACTTTCGACGGCTTCTGTCAAACAAACGGCACCTTCATTTTAAGGGGGCACGATCAAGTTGAAGCTAGTCAACCATACTGATAATACCCCACCCCACCGGTACCCCAGCGGTGACAAACACGCGACCAAGGTACATCATCGACTAATTGACTGCTGTCTTTTTCTAAGTACGATTTGATTTTGTCGCCTCAGTTGTCTGTATTATGATAAGATGTCGTACTTACTGCACTTTTCAGACATGATGCTGTTTAACAAAGTGGATATTTTGCTAAAACCTTGGACGTTGAAAACGAGGTCTCCTGCAATTTCTTCCAGTTGACCCTGAAACTTCTGATAATCTCCGATACCAACAACGATAATTTTAACGTTTTTAGCCTGCAAAAAAATCATCATTGATTCAGTGCTGAAAATCCTGGACGAATGGGACTAATTCTAAATTACTATTTAATGGTCGTTATTTATCTCTATGGTTCAGAGGGGGAGGGAGGGGTTCGGTTTGGTAGGATTTTGATCGTATCATTATAAAATAACTTGATCCTCCCAAAAGGCTCTGTAATATTCTCACGGTCCCTCTTCAAGAGTCTCCCTTCAGTTATACTTTGTTTGCTACGACCGGTTTTCCTTCCGTTCCCACACCATGGGATCCCCTCCAAATCTCCCGGCCCTCCAATCCCAGGCGGTAATGACTGGTCTCTTGGACTGACGGGGATTTTCTCACTTGGGAGGTACTACTATGGCAAATAAAGACATTATCCACTTTCTATAACACAATAATATACGGCCTTGAACGAATTGCATCATGAAAAGCGTGACGGAAAGGTCCTACCTTAAGTGAACGAATCGTATTTGCGTATGGTCTCGAGGCCTTATTTGTTCTTCCATCTGTAAAGAGAATCAGCGTGTTTGGGAAATCAGGCCTATCACCTCCCTTTCTAGTAAAGAGTAAAGTGTTAGCTGCCTTCAGCGCCCTGTCGATGGACGCTCCCCTGCCCAATTCTGTACGGATGCTGTCGATACGATTGTACAACGCTTCGTTACTGTGGTAATTTGTGTTCCTAAAAGTATTCAATATCCGCAGTCGTCTGGAAAACAGAATAATTCCAGCGTGGGTCTGGTCGGGTCCAATTGACAGCGCTTGGACGAGCTTAAGGACAAAACCTTTGAGTAACAAGAAGTTTCTCTTTCCAAGGCTGCGTGTCCTTTCCACCAAAAGGGCCAGGTCCATTCCTGTAGAATTCTGGCAAGCTTTGGACATGAAAAGAGAATAAAAAACACATATGAAGAGCAAACAAACAAACAAACACATAACAACAACTGAGTTAATAAAGGGGGCTGCGTCGGTGGTATATTTAGTATAAGTAGATAATTTGGTTTTATCAAATGGAATTAATAAATGTAAATTGGCCACCGTAAAGAGTTTGTAAGCTGAAACTCGAAACGTTAACTTAAAACTCTTTACGGTGGCCAGTTTACGCTAACATATTCAAGTGTGAACAGGGCCGCGTTGTTCAAAGCTGATTTAAGATAACTGAGGGTTTGTGTGAAATCTGATTTTAGATCTAAAAGCTTTAAAAGAAAATTAAGTGGCATTCTTTTTGTCTACAACTTGATGACTGGATGCTCTAAGAAGTATAGGGAATATTATTCTAAAAAAGACTTTTGAACAAAGGATTGAAGAAACCCAGATTAGAAATGAACCTCATAACTGGGCCCAGAACTAGATCTGTCCTTACTTTTCCTCTTACCTCTTCGATTTGGCTGAGTGTTTACACGAGAGCGGAGTTTTTGAGATTTAAAAACAGATTATCATAATTTATAACCCACCGATTAATTTTGGCGCGATTTTATTGGTTACTTTACGTCACGTGGTGTAAAATCACAGGAAAATTATCACGCAATAACCCCCGTCGATATTTGTCCTCCGATTTTTTCCGTGAAAAAGAAGCATAGTCAACACAAGAGTTTCAACTTTTCTGTTCTCATATTTACATGGAAGAAAACCAAACTCGTTTTTTTTTTGCTCGCTTGCGTCAATCATGCGCATTCGCCATCAGATCACCACTGGCTTTTTTTACTGTGTTTACGCGCAGTTTAATTGCGATGTGAAAATTGATGGAAGGGTTATAAGATAAATAAACCTCGTTCTGGCTTGCTGGTATGTAGGTTGATAATTTCCTTCGCCGAGAGATTGTCCTCAAAATTTCATACTTGCCTTCGAAGCTTCGCTTCTCGGCCAAATATTCCTTTTTTCGGACGATCTCTCAGCCGCGGACATTATCAACCGACATACCAGCCGCCCGAAGGGGTTTATTTACTAATTAACGAGCTTAAGATCCGACGACGGCAGACATCTGGGACGGCAGACTCGATCGAGGGGGCTTGGGGAGAGGTCGCCGTTGCAATGGCGCGAAAAATAGCCTTAAGATAGCGCGCGCGACGGCAGTTGTAGTGGCTTTCCTCTTCGAAGTTTAAGAGAAGCAATGGCTACCTTTAGAAAGGCTCGGGAATTGTTGATCGCAAGTTTCGATGATGGTGACATTTCAGAGGATGAATTTTTACTGTTGTACGATGCCAACACTTCAAAAAATTTCGATTATCCCTACCACAATTACGAGCATTTTGACCTGGAAGTGTTAGATTTTTCCTAATTTTGGTTTCCCTGTTCTACGTAGAAGCTAGTGTCAGGAGACCTGTTTTCCATATTTGGTATTGTACACGAGGTTTTCTGCTTTTCGATTAAAAACAGTTCTTCCGCCATCTTGATCTGGTTACTATGTTCCCGGCCTTTTATTCGGAATACACAACAACTGGCGACGAGGATGGGATAAATGTCATGGAGGGTGACGATTCCGAAGAAAGTGATGGAGAATTTGGGAACCTGTACCATGTCTCAGACATTAAAAACAAAAAGCCCATTTCACTTAAGATCTACCTTGAAGGCCGCCCAGTGACTATGGAGCTGGATACAGGTTAAGTGGTGTCAGTCATGAGTGAGAGGGTGTATTTGGATTACCTCCGCCACATTACTTTAAAGGACACCTCCTTGAAGTTGCGCACAAACACAGGAGAGTCAGTGAAGCCTATGGGGTTTTGCCATGTGACTGTGCAGTATCAGGGACAGTCAAAGGAACTTCCCATATATGTAGTGAAGAATGAGGGACCCACCCTTTTTGGCAGAGAATGGCTGGAAATTATCCATCTGGACAGGCCCTTGCTTCGTCTGGAAACATCCGACACCATTCCAGCCCTGGAAGATGTCCTGAGTAAGCATGGAGATGTTTTCTCTGAAGGTTTGGGCAAGATAAAGAATATCCAAGCACGGATCCAAGTTAAAGAGGATGCCCGACCTCGATTCTGGAAAGCCCGCCCAGTAGCGCTGGCTCGTAAACCAGCAGTGGACGAAGCATTGAGAGAGCTGGAAGCTGAAGGAGTTATAAAGAAGGTAGCTACTCGTGAATAGGCTGCTCCAATTGTGACACCAGTGAAGAAGGATGGCAGTGTAAGAGTGTGTGGTGACTTCAAAGTGACCATCAATTCACAGCTGGAGGTAGACGAGTACTCACATCCCCGCATTTATGATAATTACGCCAGCCTAGGTGGGGGAACGTTGTTCAGCGTCATTGACCTGCGTCAGGCTTACTTACAAATGGAGGTTGAGGAGCACTCAAGGCCATTCCTCACCATTAACACAACCCGTGGTTTGTTCCAGTACCAGCGCCTTCCTTAGCTTCGGCGCCAGCCATCTGGCAGCGAGCCATGGATCAGATCCTGCAAGGACTACCAGGGGTCTTTTGTTACCTGGATGATATCATTATAACCGGCCATACCATAGAGGAACACCTTGAGCGGTTAGTCGCAGTATTGAAGAGGCTGGAAGAGTATGGTTTGAAAGCTAACCGAGAAAAGTGTGAATTCCTTAAAAGCTTTGTGGAGTACCTTGGACATGTCATCTCTGCAGAAGGACTGCATCAATCCCCAAAGAAAGTAAAGGCTATCACTGAGATGCCAAAACCTCAGGATGTTACTCAACTGCGTGCTTTTCTTGGCATGGTCCAGTATTACGCCAAATTCTTGCCCGATCTGGCCACTCATTTTGCTCCACTTCATCGGCTGTTACAGAAAGATGTGAAGTGGTTGTGGGGAGCTGCGGAACAAGCTAGTTTTCTTGCGGTGAAAGAAATTTTGCTACAGGATAGGGTTCTGATGCGCTATGACCCTGACTCACCACTAGTTCTTGCCACAGACAGCTCCTCGTATGGTCTGGGAGCGGTCTTGTCACACCGTACCGCTGAGGGAGTAGAGCGTCCTATCGCTTATGCGACCCGGTCCCTGTGCGAAACAGAGAAGAAATTCTCACAAATCGAGAAAGAAGCATTAACTTTGGTCTGGGGTGTGAAGAAGTTCCAAATGTACCTGGAGGGTCGCCACTTCACCTTGGTCACCGACCATCAGCCTTTGAAGTACATAATGGACCCGGGGAAAGCTGTGCCAGTCACGGCAGCAGCAAGGATTCAGCGTTGGTGCCTCTTCCTAGGAACTTTTTCATACAATATCGAGTTCCGAGGTACCAAGCAACATGCCAATTGTGATGGTTTATCTCGCTTACCCCAACCATCAGCACCCGCTGACAAGCCCGATGAAGTTAGAGTATTCCATACCACTGTTGTCGAGGCCCTCCGCGTTACAGAGCACGACTTGAGAATGCAGACCCGTAGGGATCCAGTACTTTCCCGTTTTCTGGAGCTTGTGCAGTCAGGATGGCAAGGAACCGAACTTCACCCAGAGCTCATTCCCTATGCCCATCGCGGTAACGAAATCACGATTCATCATGGGGTTCTAATGTGGGGTAGTAGAGTAGTCGTCCCAGCCAAACTGAGAGAGAAAGTTTTGGAAACGCTTCACGAGGGTCACATTGGTATGGTCAAGATGAAGGGTTTGTTGTCCCGGGGTTTTGTTTGGTGGCCAAACATTGACAAGGACATAGAAGGGGCCGTCCGAAACTGTGAGGGATGTCAGGAGTTGGCAAATAATCCAGCCCGTGCACCCCTGCATCGATGGGAGTACCCTTCCCTTCCCTGGCAAAGACTGCACATTGACTTTGCCGGACCAGTCGAGGGAAAGATGCTCATGGTAGTGATCGATGCCCACAGCAAGTGGCCGGAGATTTTCGTGATGGAGATCACCACTGCTGAAGAAACCGTTAGCACGCTGCGCTCTCTGTTTGCCCGCATAGGACTCCCTGACCAGATGGTGTCAGACAATGGTTCACAGTTCACGTCTGAAACCTTTAGGAAATTTACAACTGCGAACGGTATAAAGCCTGTCACTGGTGCACCTTACCATCCATCAACCAATGGTCAGGCGGAAAGATTAGTACAGAGTTTCAAGAAAGGAGTTAAGGCTGACAAGTCCAGTAGAACCCTGCAACACAAGCTTGATAGGTTCCTGTTAGCTTATCGATCAGCGCCACACGCCACTACTGAGCTTAGCCCTGCACAGCTTCTCCTGGGTCGGAATGTTAAGACAAGGTTGGACCTGATTAAGCCGGATGTTACAAGGAAAGTCAACAAGAAGTTGCTCCAGTCCAATGACCGCACTTTGAAGTCTTTTGACCAAAACCAAAACGTATGGGTCCGCAACTAGCGCAGAGGTCCAAAATGGGTGCGTGGCACCGTCATTGAACAAACGCGTCCAGTCCTCTACAAAGTCAAGGTAAATGACCAAACCTGGAAACGTCATGTCGAGCACCTACGGGATAGCGACCTTTGCCCACCTGACCCGGAAACGATTGATGATATTGCTGCTCCGGAGGAGGTCGAACATGGCACGCCGCCTGTAGCTACGGAGACTGAGTGGAAGGATGCACCACCTTTGGCTGTGAAATAACTGAATTTTTCGGTTTTAAAATTTTAGGTCGATTTCATCAGAGTGCTCCTTTAAATGAGTAGCGTGTAACGCTCTCTCACCGAGCGCTTGTTAACTTAAAATCTTGGAATTTTCGAGAAGTTGAGATTACTGGCAATTTTTTTCCAGATCTGCCCTCTTGCGATACTTCCCTTTTTAGTTTTGAAAGGCTCTAGAGCCAGAATTTCTTGACAGAGAGAGTGGTCACGGTCATCTGTCCACTCCATGTTGGATCTACATTTTGACAAAATATAACATATGTTTAAAACATTCTGGTGAGTCTGCTGACTTAGCTTCAATTTCAACCACTTAGTTCAGTTCAGAACTCTCAGAGTAGTCTTGTTTATGGATGTTGTAGTTCAAATTTTTCTTTGGTTTAAAAATTCTCAAACTACGTTAATTTTTTGTTTACCTTCGTCTTTTATAATAGATGCGAGAAAAAGGACGACCCAAATGAAAACTGGTTTGAAACTTTTTAAACACAGGAAAACTTTCAATCAAAACATGGACATGTATGCAAAACAGCATAATACAGGTATAATGTCTTATCATGATGATAAACGTTTAACCAATTTCTAGGAGCAAACTTTTCACGTCTGATTAAAGACGTTTTTTATGGCTAAAAAAACATTACGGAAACTGTTGATTATGAAAATTTTCTCAGATAAGCCTTGTTGTTAAACTCGAGAAAAGGCAAATAGAATAATATTATGGCCATAAATTAAAGCCCGAACACGTTTACGAATTTTTCATCGAAATAAAGAGAAATAGTGAAATTGTAAAACTTACTGGGTTGCTTTCTTTGTTGACATCGACCCAGTACTAGTGACGAACTGTTAATGAGAAAGGCAAACGAGTGAAGTTAAAATTTCCCCGAACAAATCGTTTATTTTTGTTCAACTATTTCACAGACATCCTCTCATACCAATAAACTGTCTAAATTTCCAACAGTTTTCGCTCAAAGTAAAATGGCTTATTTTGCTTAAGTTTACTCACGTTCTAGCCGCGACGGCAAAATGGCTTTCTTCACGTCACACTGACAAGGCCGCTACGGCGGGAAACCTCACAACGACGGCAACCGTAAGTAATTCTGGCAGTAACTTTATTTCCGCCTGCCGTCCCAGATGTCTGCCGTCTTCGGATCTTAAACTCGTTAATATCTCGTTTTAGACGGTGGAGAAATCGGAAAAAATGCATTTGATTTCGGGTCAAAAACACCGTTTTATGATATTTGGATAGTCCACAGTAATGAGCATATACAGGCTACAATGTTATTCATAGAGTCATAGGGTACATACGACACATCAGATCCGTTAAATTGTTGATCGCCTCATCGATATTGCTGTAATCTTGGTCGAAGAACACAGCATCCCCTGCAATCAGCCTCAACACTTCCTGGTGTTTTTCCTTCCGTGAATCCGGACCAATTCCAAAAACGAACACACGGACACCTCTTTGCTACAAAATTAAGTATCAATGATTATTGTTCTCAGTCTAGTTAGCCCCTTTGTCTGACAAGTCCCTTTTCTCATAAGCGCCCCCCCCCCCCCGTCATGAAGTTTACGCGTATACCAGGCTGCCCCTTTCTAAACTACGATCAAAATATTGTAAAATACTGAGTTTCAAGAATACTTGTTCCGTTTGGCCTATTGTTGAAATACGGAATACACTTGTATTTGAAAACCTGTATCAATTTCTGTTCAAATTACGCGGGCAGTCAATTGCATTTTATCTACTTTATTCATTAAATTTAGAAGGCAATTCGATTTTTTTTCCGATGAAGCTCACTTGAGTAGGCCCTGGAAACTAATAAAGCTTGTACTTGTGGGGGTGGGACCCAGACTTTACATGGCCAAGCGGCAGGATCTGCGTACGAAGTTACTAGGGCACTTACAGCTATTCAGCCAATCAAAATTTGTTAATGTCAGTGTCAGGCCCAGGCCAATGCACGGCCTTTTTGCTTAAAGGAAGTACAGGATTCTTTCTCTTCTCTTCACTCCCTCGTTCGTGTCTTATCAGTTGTCAACAGCACGAATCTCTAGAATACCTACTGAGGTGATTCCTCAGATAAAGAAATCATCGAAATTTTTTTTAAACTTTCCTTAAATGTTTCTTACCAATGTCTATTTCGAAAAATACAATAAAAAAGATAGGTCGCCGTGCTTGTTTAAGAGATGCGATGGGCCAAACTTACTCCATTTATGCCTATACTGGAACTAATCACGCTCGTCATTTCATAGGTTCACTGTAAATTTTTTGGTAACACTTGAAAAAAAATTTGATTGATAAAAATTCTCAAGGGTATCGAATAATTTGACTCATAGTTTGTGGAAAAACCACGCAATTTTGAACGATATCGACATAAAATGTTCCTCGAGTCATTGCTTTCGAGGTCATAATTTGCATCCTGGAGTAAAGGGCCTCGCACGCGCTTTATACGCTTACACCGTGCTCGTTCAAGAGTTAAAGAGTATCATGCCACTTTACCTGGTCCATGGAATGCGCGCGCTTATTCGCCTGATTACGTGATTTTTATGCGCAGTAAGGGTGCGGAATGCAATTCTGAGGAATCACCTTAACTGACATGAACTGTCGATCTAAAAGCCAAGATTTCATGTGTTTGCTTGATAAAGCTATAAACAAAGATTACGGGCCTTCTTTGGTACTGAACTCTGTGTTAAATAAACCTCTTTTCAATCTTTACAGTTTTCAACTTTTACAGTTTTTAGTGTGTCCACAATTGATTTGTGCCTTGCTTACATTTCTTCAGGCATTGTGGGTTGTATTGGCATTGTGGGTTGTATTGGTATTGTGGGTTGTATTGGCATTGTGGGTTGTATTGGCATTGTGGGTTGTATTGGCATCGTGGGTTGTATTGGCATTGTGGGTTGTATTGGTTTTGTGGGTTGTATTGGCGGTCAGAAGATTGATTGCCGCTGGAGGATCTGCTCTTTTGCCTTACCGGCAGGTTTACACACAAGAAACAACAACATGGCGGATGGACACACTGGCAAGAGCTTCGCGTTAAACGTTTCTGACTCGTCCTTTAACTTGCACTACGAGGATAATTCCTCTGAATTCGAACAACACTTATCTTACAACGCTGATAAGAAAAGGTTTAGCTGAAATGGAACCCTTGAAGAGCTTGAAAGTTTTGTCGATACAAAACTTTCGCGGCTAATCGATGATGGCGACAAGGGTTTCAAGACAAATAAGTCATAAAACAGCTCTAGTGTTATCCTAAAGCTGACTAATGTAACACTTAACTTCTACCAAAACACCAAGACGCTTCAAGTGCAAGGGAAAGCGGCCGAAGATGTTAGAGACGTTCTTAATGAACTGATTCAAAATAATTTCTTTGTTGCGAACTTAACCGGAAACACTGCCGAGCACAACATCGACTCCACTATGATCAACGAAGAACACATTTCTACAGTGAACAACACTTTGATAACTAACCAGAATGACCCTCAAACCTTCAAAAACGAAATTGACAAACTTTGGAAAGCTATATAAGCATTCAACGAAAATTTCAATTTTTCGCGAATCTGTCCCAAGTGGATGCGTTGCAACGTGAAATTGATGAATACAAATTGAAATGCCCCCGAGTACGAAGTAAAGATCCAAGAACTTCAACAAGAAAAAACAAGTCTGATGGAATCTATTAAAGTTCTCTCTTCGGATAAATCAATAGGTTCACACGGTCTACAACTTGCCTCTAATGATTGGCAACCCGTTACGTCAAACAAGTCACGAGGGAAGAAGAAAAAGAAGTGGAAAGTCAGTTCCCAGAACCAGCAACTACAAATGGAAAATAACGATGCTAGTGAGAACGGCCAAAGGGAGTAAAGACCTAATGAAGATGCAATTATTGTTGGAGATTCGATTGTCAAAGGATTACGCAAGGACTCATTAAGTCGGCCGGCTAAACGGCGCGAAACCGTGAGAAGTTTCCTTGGTGCTAAAAACGCAGACATGGAGCATTATCTACAACCAAGCTTGGCTACAAAACCGAAGGCGATAATCCTCCATGTCGGAACAAATGATATGAAAAATTCATCAACTGCTCGGGATGTGGCAGAGAAAATCGTCAATCTGGGGAATATGATTGCCACAAACTCTCCTAACACTAGTGTAACCATTTCCGCAATCACACAAAGATTAGAGGAAGAATCGCTCGCGAGGAAAGTAAAGGACAGCAACAGAGTTTTAAAAACATTTTGTAATCAGAATGACTGGGCCTTTGTCGAACACTTGAACATCGACGAAACATGTCTGAACAATTACAAACTCCATCTCAACAAAAAAGGTATTGCTATTTTATTGAATAATTTTGTAAATGATATACTTCATTGATACGATTCTTACTTGACAACTGTGGCGATACTTAACCTCACTACCACCTCTGGTGCCCGGATCAGGTCAACTCTAATGTCAAAGTGTCGTGGATTCAAAATGATTAGTTTGAATATTACAAGCCTTTTGAAACATATTGATGAACTTTGTGTTTTTCTAAATAATCAAAACATCGACTTTCTAGCCATAAATGAGACCAGGCTAAATGAAGTATTTTCGATCAGGAGGTTAAAGTCCAGGGTTATGATATATTACGTCGTGACAGGTCAACAAATGGTTGGTTAGGTGGTGGCATATGTTTTTACATTCGTTCTAACATAAGCTATCTTGTCCGCACAGATTTGGACAGTCAGCTCCTGGAAATAATATCAATTGAAATTCGTAAACACAACTCACAACGCTTTGTTATTACTTCATGGTACAGACCCCCAAATTCACCTCATGAACTTTTCACACACACTAACACATTATTAGGCAAATTAGATTCTGAAAACGTAGAACGTTCTCTTATGGGGAATCTAAATTATGACTTGCAATCCAAAGACAATTTTAATGTGAAAGCTCCTCTAAACATAACAGACATTTATGGTTGGATCAACAAATTAACGAACCTACCTCCGAATTACACCTACAACGAGTACATTAATTGATCTGATTTTCACAAATCAGCCAGAGAATGGGTATTGTTCGGGGGCCGGTCTCATGTCGCCATCAGTGACCACAGTCTAGTTTATGCATATCGAAAATTTTCAGTTCCCACTCTCTCCAAGGGAGTTAACTTGATAACATGTAGACAGTTTAAACATTTTAATAGCGCAAATTTTTATGCGGATATCTTAGCCCAGCCTTGGGATGAGAGAAGGCAATTGTATGATCCAAATGATATGTGGAAGATATGGAAAGAATTATTCCTAAATGTGCGTGAAAAGCATGCACCGATGAAGACCAAACGGACACGAGATTCTAAATCCCCATGGACAACCACTAGTTTGAAAAAAGCGGATGAATTTCAGAGACCGTCTCAAATAAAAAGGCTATCAAGACAAAAGATCCATTTATTTGGAACCAATTTCGAATGGTTAAAAATCAAGTGAACTGGGAAGTTAATAGCGCGAAAAAAGCCTATTATGAAAATAGCTTCAACAATTGTTGTGGGGATCAAAGGAAAGCATGGAAAAACGGCAATCAATGAACTGACCTCACGGAAGTCCAATAAAACTGTTATTAATGAGATAGAATATGATGGGGTACATTCTGGAAATCAAACAGATGTAGCAGAAATGCTAAACTCATTTTTCACAGAAATTGAATCAAGCCTTAGTAGAGACGTGACAGAAGTTGATAAATCCTTCGAAGAATTTCTTACTGAAACTGATAAAAATTTTGTTTTTGAAAAAACAACACCAACCCATGTTTTTTTCAGTACTATCAAGCATAGTTAACCTGGATTAACTATGCATCAAGGCTCTGCAAGTCAAAGGCGACTGAATTGGATAATATTTCTGTGAAACTTCTAAGGGAATGTCCTGATGTATTAACGGGTTCTCTTACTCATATATTTAATCAATCCCTAATGACTGGCATCTTTCCCGATGAGTGGAAATCTGCCAGAGTCACCCCATTGTATAAAAATTCTGGGAAGCGCTCTGATCCGACGAATTATCGACCAATATCAGTAATTCCTAACCAAAGTCTTTGAACGGATAATCTCCGATCAGCTTTATCATTATTTAACTAAAAACGACTTTCTCTCGCAGTGCCATCAATCTGGTTTTTGGTCTTTGCATTCCACTCTCACATCACTTATCGAAGCTACAGATAGCTGGGCAGGGGATATAGACCGTGATCTTGTTAATACCGTAGTCTTTTTAGACCTCAAAAAGGCATTTGATACAGTAGATTACGATATTTTGTTACGAAAACTGCAATACTATGGGATTCGTTGGACCAGCCATCAATGGTTTGCTTCTTAATTAGATAGCCGAACACAGATTTGTCATTTAAATTCTTGTAAGTCAACTCCGAAATGTCTGAGATGTGGTGTTTCCCAGGGAACAATTTTGGGACCTCTTTTGGTTTTTATAGATATTAATGACTTACCATATTGTTTGACATATTCGGAACCTGGAATGTGTGCAGATGATACCAGCCTGACGCTTGCCAGCACTGACATTGAGCATATAAATTATTTCCTTAATTACGACCGGATCAATATGCAATGGCTCTCTGCTAACAAAGTTACCCTGAATATGACAAAAACTGAATTCATGCTTATTACATCAAGGCAGAAGCTATCACAATTTACGGAAAGTCCCTCTCTTATTACTGATAAAGGGAAACGCAATCGAACAAGCAACCTCCGCTAAATCCCTTGGAGTTAATGTCAATCAAAATAAAAATTGGGAGTGTCATATTGAAAACATCTCTAAAAAAAAAAGTTAGTGCCATTGGTGTGATTAAACGAATTCGGCATCTCACTCCATTTAATGTTTTAATTAAAGTTTATTATGGCCTTATTCAACCAAATTTTGATTATTGCAACGTAGTGTGGGGAAACTGTAACAAAGGCCTTTCTGAAAAACTGCAAAGGCTACAAAATCGGGCAGCTCGCATCGTAATGTCTGCGAGCTATGATAGTAATTTGGATGATTTGTTCCGGGCGCTGGGGTGGGGAAGACTCTACTATCGAAGATTGTAATTTACAGAAATCTATCCTAATGTATAAAACGTTACATGGTATGACACCTGATTATCTGAGATCAAGATTTGTATATCGTGACTGTGTAAGTGCTTATCGTTTAAGGAATACTGAAAGCAAATCAGTTCTTCCACAACCTCGAACTGACTATCTCAAGAGAAGTCTTGATATCCTGGGATATCCAGGAACTGGTAATTGTACATTATTTGGATTCAATCTTTATTTACAACAAGTCCCAGTATCAATTTTTGAAATTAGGTAAAAACCAACTGCAATCCCGTTTTTCTAATAACATACTTTGTTAACTCTCGATCAGGCAATTTCCCACTTTTTTTTACCAGACTGTTTTCCATAGTATAAAAATTAACAAAGTGGTAGTGCGTGACTGCGGGAGCTCTAGTTTCATTAACCTCTCTATTAATTATTCTTTGACTGCAGGAGTGCGGGAATGCGCGAGCACTAGTTTAACAATCTCTCCATGAATTGTTCTTTGACTGCGGAACTGCGGGAACACTAGTTTAACGATCTCTCCATCAATTATTTTTTGACTGCGGGAGTGCAGGACTGCGGGAGCATCAGTTTATCGTTCTCTCTATTAATTATTCTTTGACTGCGGGAATGCGGGACTGCGGGAACACTAGTTTAACGATCTCTCCATCAATTATTCTTTGACTGCGGGACTGCAAGACTGCGGGAGCACTAGTTTATCGTTCTCTCTATAAATTATTCTTTTACTGCAGGAGTTCGGAACTGCGGGAGCACTAGTTTCACAGACTTCTCTTTCAAAATTTTTTTCATTGCGGGACCGGGGCATTATTTGGACATTTCCTCATTTAATAACTTCGGGAGCACGAGAGCAATCGATTTTAGCAGCGCTCAAAAGTGGCCGGGTATTCTGAAGTTCCTCCCCTATTTCTGCACCTTGCACGAGTCCTCAGGTGCAAAGTTAAAACCAATCTCCATTTTGCATTTTTAGTTGGTGGCTGTGTGACTTGTGTCCAAAACATTTTTCCTGCATCTCCCATAACACTCTTTAATATTCTTATGCCCCCACCCCTTTACTTAGCAGTTAATGGGCAGTCAATTTTTAACCTTTCATATTCTGTTTGTGACGACTGACCCCCCCCCCAAAAAAAAAAAAAATCCTCCAACACCCCCCTCCTCCTCTCAGGCGATAATTAATGACAAGTCCCTCAGTGTTGCCTTACCCTCATATTTTCTACGCTTATTCTGTAAGCATCAGTTTCAGTCTGAGAGGGATGTGATCGACCATCTGTGAACAGAACCATTACGCTCTCCACTCCAGCCCTATCTCCAGTCGCCTTGGTAAACATTTCTTCATCAGCTTTTTTCAAAGCAAGGTCCAGTCGAGTTGGCTTAGACAGTTTGTCGATAGAATGTTCTATCAGATTAAGAACAGCTTCTTCATTGTGGTGGTCGGTGTCTTTGAAATAGTTATGGATGGTGCTTTTATTATCGAATGTTTCCAACGATACGTGTGTGCCATCTTCTGACACGCCAAACTGTTGCACTAGTTTGGCTAATCCCGCTTTCACAGTAACGATGTTTTCTTTTTTGATACTTTGGGTTACATCCACAATCAAACCAAGGTCAATGGTGCAGCCAGGCGCTGAAAAGAATTACGAGGCATTGTTTTAACATTTTGTATCCTAAGATCAGTATGCATGTTCTCCATACTGTTCTCTACACATTTCCTAAGGTGCTGACGAGGAGAATTTGTTTAACGATCAAGAGCATCTAGAGTTGGTGATCATTTCTGTTATTAGCGTGCCTTTAATGTGGGATTCAGGGGTGATATTGTAAGAGAAATTAGATGCTTGTCTTCCCCAGAGGCCGGGTAAAGGCAATAAGCGAAAAGCCGCCGAAGTTTGGTTGAATGACACGCACGAAAAAGATGGACGAAGAGTAACACTGAAATAACATAAACGTCATTGTTAGCAAAACTAAAGGACAACAGAAGATCGGGGCAAGTAAGGAACTGGTTATCATTTATCACCTGGGGTCAGGGAGTCGGAGAATTTTGGGTGGGTGGGCGTTCGGAAGATTTTGGTTGCGTCACAGTAAAATTTTCCCGACTAATCCCTCTCTGAAGTCTCTGTAGAATTCTAATGACCCCTTACCCCTTCATTGGCGATAAATACTCTTTAGTCAACCCTTTATAGTGTGATAACGACAACTGATCCCGCCTCTTTTCCCCCTGAAAACCTCATGAACCCTGCCTAAAATCCTTCGACCTCTCTCTCGCCTCCCCACCCACCAGACATTAAAAAATGACTGTCCCCTAAAGGGATATTATATCTTGGCTTTTCCACTCGAATCACATCTTCTCAATTAAAAAGTAGCTGCCGTTATACTGTTGTACAAATGTTGCATTTCGGGTGGAGAAATATTCTAAGGAGCCATTTCCAAACCGCTGAATGGAACAACCTTTTAACTGGCAGCTAAGAAATATTTTGCTCTAACTACCCTTAGTTCGCTAGGCTGTAGTTCCTCATGGGTAGAAGAAACTGGTTTCAAGTTTTTCCCAATATCTGAGAACGTATTGAAAATTTGTTGTACAGAAGGCAAATGTAATTTATTTTAAAGAGCTTAATTCAGAGCACTTTTCGAACACATTATTATGTCGTGGCTCATAATATAACAGTAATTTTGAAATTGCGAGATTTAATCGGCTGCATTTCACTCACTTCTTTCTAGGATTTTCCAAAAACAGTCCTCGAAAACGGTTTAACGGGAAGTTCCCCATAACATTAGTACATTAATGGTGATTGCCATGTCACGCCTATCATGACAAACTTCAATCCTTTAATCGACACTTGTGTGAAAATCGTTTGACTGTAAAGCGGTAAAGTTTTTTTTTTTAGCGCTCTAAGTATAGCTGGTCGGGGCAAAGCAAAACCTCAGAATTAATACTTAAGACTAGGTGGACGTGCCTTCAAAGTTCAAGTGAGTTAATAGTTATTCTTACCCGCCGAAACGGCTAACAGCATTGAACTCAGAATAAAAGCCTGCATGCAAAGTCGTATCATCTCGTTTTACCTGCAGAATTAAGATGATAAATCATTGTACATGTATTCACTCTACGTGGAAGTCTACCTATGTTTTTAAATTCGGTCTATCCATGTCGTGAATCTAATGGAGAGGGACCATCGATGAATTACACCTCACCTAAACAACCGTTTGTTTATATTTTATCATTTGGATTCATTTGATTGATAAGAGATGAAATTGTGGGAAGCGAGGTGGAAACCTGTGAAAGGCAAATAAACTAGAGCTGGATCAAAGAAAGGGAAAGAAATGCTCAGTTAAAAATTGAATGGATTCAGGGCAACATGTTTGATATTCCATCTTCTTCTTTCGAATCAATTTTTCTCCCTCCTTTTTAACGCCTTTTGACTATTTTTTAGCCTCCCTAACCAATTCCTCTTCCCGTCTCTCCTTGGGATGATTACAATATGATCAGTAAACGTTTGTTTCCCACCTTGCAAAAAAACCACTCTGATGTTTTCTGGATAGGAAGACTTCAAGAAATTGAAACCAGCTACTGGACGTGGCAAATTTTGTAATGTTTTGCTTGTCGTAAAGCCCAAATAAGCGGTCAAAATAAAACTTGAAATTTGATTGGTAATTAAAACGTGCCTTCGCCTTAGGAAAAAATGGCTATCTTGTAACATAGTGAATTACAGTCTCCGTTGTGGAATGTGCTGAAGAAATGGCTTCCTATTGGTAGTTTACGACACTTAAGGCCAAGAGCCCCATAGCATTGAAATAATTCTTTTTTTAGTCATGTGTTTTGAAACGCTAATCAAACCTTAATTAAGGCCAAGGGCGTCATAGCATTGAAATAATTCTTTTTTTTAGTAATGTTTTTTGAAACTAGAATCAAACATTTTTTTACAATTTTAAAATGTATTATCGTTAACGGCATTAGTAGCTAGTTTCGTTTTCCTTACAGCTTCAAAATAGGGTGCACTTTAAAAAAATTCCTCAACTTTAGTTCAACATCTATGAAGTTCCTTTTAGTAAATCAAATCTAATGACATAACGCTCGCTTAAAGCTCCTTAACGTGGCCCACCCATTAAAGCTCGCTAATTTGCATATTTAAGAAACACTTTCATGCAAGGTGCGCGGTTTAAACACTATACCACAAACAGCTCGTTTTAGGTTCGAGAAAGTCGCATCTGTGATATAGAGATTGGGGTCAAATAAACTTTACCGGTATAATTTTGGGCATAATACTGTAGTAAGAGCATCGAACGTAGGCCCGGCGGCATAATGACTAAATTTCGTAAAAATTCCCTTGATGTTGCAGTTCAACAAGAGGTAAATTCTGTAGCCTGAGTAATGTTAATGGTGAGTGTGCTGTTCTGATCTTGCACGCACTTCAGTAATTTGATCCAGTAAAGTGTTGTGTAGTGAACATCGGTAAGCCTTTTTATTCGTAGCAAGTTTTACCTGTTGAAAGTGTTGGAGGCAGCTGAGAGGTTCTTAAGATATAAATAGCTATCAATATCTCGATAAATATCGAGAACCCTGCCGACTGGGGGAGGGTGGGGGGGGGGACAACTGCCATCTAGGCGTATTTTAAATTTGTCGATTTTGCGGAGAGAGCAAAGTGCGTGAACAGAACTTTTAGATATAATTTTTGAAAAAGGTTCATCAAAACGGTCCTTTGGAAAAAAAAATTAATTATGACATTTTGCAACTGTCGGCAAATTCTCGATATTTATGGTGAGTGACTCTTATAGCTATTATATTGAACCATTAAATGGGTAAAGCATAAAGAAAAATTTTGAGCATATTTTTGGGCATATTTCATTGTTTTCAGCGGTGCCGTTCGACAACATAATGCTCAAATTTTTTAGCATAATTTATATGACTCAGACAGAGATGTCATTTAATGTCGAAATTCAGATTCGTATTTTTAGGTTCTCCTTTTCATGTTCCCTTTCATTGTCCTGATTCAGTTTATTATCACTTTGGCATGATGTCCTTCCTTTCCCTCCGATTTATTACCTTTCATTAAGGGGTCCTTTACTTGAGAACAAACGGTCGTTGGTTTCAAAATAACAAAAACATCAAAAGTACTGCATGATTGCATTGTTCCTTGGAGAGTTGGAAAATGTACTTTTAAGTAATTTACTTAATATGATCCAGAAAAATATTTCGATTTAAGTTTACCTGCGAAGGTTTGGAGTATTAATTCGATTTTTTTTAGTATTAATTCGGTTATTTTGCGGCTTTGATATATCATTAGTGCACTATTGTATTCACTGTTTGACTCAAAGCTGTAAACACCGATAAACCACAGATCAACCAGTTGCACGCGAGTCTATAAAACGACGAAATTAAACCACAGAAATAAGCGATATCGTCATTACCCACGTATCGTTAAAATTGTCGTCTGTTCCTTCTGTAATAAACAATTACCCGTTCCTTAGTATGACTGTTTTTCTTGAAACGGATAAAAACTCATAAATTAAGAAGATTGCTCGAGGCGTAGCCGAAAGCAACTCTTACGCTTCTTTCGTGCATCCATAACTTCCCGCCTGCCGCCATTACTCGATATACGTAGCTAAGCAGCAATTATTAGTTTGAGGCGTAGCCAAAGCAACTTTAACGCTTCTTTTTGTGCATCCATAACTTCCCGCCTGCCGCCATTACTCGATATACGTAGCTAAGCAGTTATTAATTATTAGTTTGAGGCGTAGCCAAAACAACTCTAACGCTTCTTTTGTGCATCCATAACTCGATCTATGCTCGTATATCCAGTTATGACCACGCCTCTCGTGCACTCCAAACTTCCTGCGTGCATCCATAAATCGAAATAGTTTAGGGTTTTCTGAGTCGCACAGAGTATAAATAAGAAAAATTACAAATTAAGAGATGCTTCATGCTTTGCTTGGGTAAGTTTGAAGAGCACGAGATACTAAGCGTAAGAATTACTCCAGGCGGCATAGCGACGCAACTCTTACACTTCTTTCGTGAATCCATAACTCGATCCTACGCCACTCTTACGCTTCTCCATTGCTCTCCAAACTTCCCGAGTCGCACAGAGTAGAAAATAATGAAAATAGTCAAGAAGAACCAGAAATCATTGCAATAAGTGTTGCAATCATGAGAATTATTACAAACATCAATTTATAGGATTCCAATAACGATTTAGCCACTCTGGAAGAGTTTCTCGGATCACTAGCGATCTGAAGGGTATAATCAGGAAATCATGTGAAAAATGGCAAACTTTAGCTGGAAGAGGTTAACAAGAAAATGGAGCTATCTGTAAAATTATCCCGGAATCCTTCCTTCTGTTTGGCTCTAGGAAGAAAAACAATATTTCCATCTCTTGGATTAAGTTCATGACCATTACAATTAATAAAGACTGATAGTTTCGAAAGAAACTGTTTGGGGCTGCGTCGGTGGGAGTAACAAAATAATTTGGATATATCAACAAAGTTGAAGTGGTAAATTGGCCACCGTAACGATTACAAAAGCTGATGTTTCGAGCGTCAGCCCTTCGTCCGACGAAGGGCTAACGCTCGAAACGTCAGCTTTTGTAATCGTTCTAGTGGCCAATTTACCACTTCAACTTTGTTGATATATCCAAATTATACCATTATAATTACTTTGCTTTTTGGTGTGCTTTTAAATGAAGGGCTGGACACAGATGACCATGGAAGCCTCATTAGGAATGGGGTATCTATGCTATGTGGGTGAAGATAGTTTGGTTTTATCAGACGAGTTGATAATGTAAACTGGCCATCGTAAAGAGTTTAAAAGCTGACATTTTGAGCGTTAGGCTTTCTATCAATGTACTTACCCTGTTTATAAGTGGAGAACTCGATTCATAAACCTCTATTGCACTGAGATCCTTAGTACAAGAAGTCACTACAAATGACAAACAACATAGAAATCTTCTTTCTTGTATCGAACCTAGATTTTTCTCACAAGCGAAGACTCTGAACCAGTCCTTCTAATTAAATGCTCTTTTGGTTACCAGTCCCCACGGTCTTTTAGTACCCACCCAGTCAATTGGGTCGATTCGCACCATACTTATAAAGTTTGTTTTCCATGTTACGCTTTTTAAGGTGGGACCGGTTTCCTATTTTTAAAAATGGCAATATTACCTGCGTTAAATAAGGTTTGTTTATGTAGCGTCCGTTCTGATACGTGAGCACCGAATATAAGCCATGCAACCGAAAAAGCGCGATCTGGGAGTGATAAGAAAGACGTTGGGCACTGGATACACTTACTTCGATGATTTAACATTTATACGCCTGGATATTTTGATTTTAGTTTGTGAAAACGAACCTAGGCCTTATCTGTGCATCGTATCGATGGCGGAAGACGAAAACATCACGAACTTGAACCATTAAAGTGTGCCTAGTGACCAACAAAAAAATCTGTCGCGCGAATCGTTTAATCGAATCGAATGCATCGTTCAGTACGTCCATTTTGTTGGTCCGTATTTTTCCCTACTCTACGGTGTAAAACCGTGGCATATTTTGTGCGTTCTCGTGACCATATGTGGTAAAATGATACAGTATTGGAATTAGAATAAGCTGTTATAAAAGATATAAGTATAAACATTTAACTGTACTCTTAAAAAATATCACACTTTCCTTTCATAGGTAATAATTCAGTTGTTTTTGTTAAGAAGGTCACAAGTATACTCTACAGACATTTTTCCAATCTTACTTGCTTGACTCTACTAACGTGTATCCGTTCACGCACTCGTGCGTAGGCTATTTTGAATAAATGAATATTGGGACGGCTAAAAATCGGCCAGCGGTTCGGGTATGAATATTGACGGACTTTTAAAAACTATGTACAAATCGTCTGAGCTGGTGACTATGATGGTTCTGCAGCTGCGTCGTTCGGTGTTTAGATGTCTGGACCACACATCGGACGTAAAGATTGTGTGGGTCCCAGTTCTCGCTTTCACAGGCAGCAAAGTAGCAGCAGTAAGTCTCTAACTCAAAAGAAAATAAAAAAGTCGTGCTCTGTGAATAATAAATATATAATTTGGACTTTTTTGGTGTTTCTTTCTTAAAAAAATAATCTAAAAGTATCGCAACTTCCAAAAACGAGCATAATTTTGAGCACAATTTCGAAAAACTATAGGGGTAATGTCAGTAGCATAGTATGATAATACAATATAACAACACTTTTTTTAACCGAGAATCTTACCATTTTTAAATTCCTACCCAACAGAATTTTTTTTACTCCCAGAATTCCGAAAATGACATTAGGTGGGACATTATTATATCAACTCTATTGAAAAGGCAGCCTTATCGTAGTCAATCCAGTTGTAAAAATGCGACCCCATCCGGCGGCACAGTCCCGTAAGCCTCTTACTAAGAAGTACTCTCCGCGAAGCTATACTTGCGAAAAGAAAATGGACAGGTACGCCCCGGATGGAAGAGTATTGGAAGGGTTTTTCCGAAGATAGCAGGAAACTGAATTATTTAGAAAAAATTCATGGTCTTTATTAAAATGCACGAATTTGTAAAAGCACTGATCACATGCATGAACTAAGTCAACAGTCACAAGTTTCAAGATACGGCTCCTAGAGCGACTTTTCTTTAATCGGCTTCTTCCTGAAGCAACGACGGTACAAACACCTGAGCTGCAAATAAATTGCGGATACAACGATGATTAAGAGGAAAATGAAAAGAGCGAGTACGTCCAAAAGGTAAAGTTGATAAAATGGTAGATCCAGGCTTCGTGGTCTGAGGAACGACAGGTCACCTAGAGCTTGCGCGTACTCCACCCAGTCAGCGGCTGCCTCTATAGCAGCACGCGGGCGCAGCTTGATAGACCTGGAAATTCTAGCAGCATTCTCGCGGTAACTAAAAATCACAAAAAATATCATTAGCTTTCTGCACCTGTATTTTCAAAGTGGACTAAAATGCTCTTTTGAGATAAAGATAGCAGCATCGTACAAATCCACGATCGATTTTCTATTACCAGCGATAAGTCGTTGTGTAATCCGGCTTACCTTGGATTGTTAAGAACAGTTTGTATTAAGTTGCCAAGACTCTCCTCAGTTATTGACTCTTTGTACAAAATCTCCGCCATCCCGAAGTGCTTTGCGGCCGCAGAGTTGTCAAACTGATCGGCAAAGAAAGGCACACAAATCATGGGGACTCCATGATAAGCAGCCTCCAACATTCCATTCATTCCAGCATGGCCAATGAACAAACGTGTCTTTGGATGACCGAGAATGTCGTTCTGTGGAAGCCAGGAAGACACTTTGACGTTATTGCCAAGGTGCAAATTTCTGCCCTCTGTTACAAATAAGGAAAGCAATATCAAACATCTTATAAATTACATACCAAACTACATGGACGTGACTAATTTAGCTTGCAGCAATCGATTCGCTTGTTGGGACAACCTTACTACTTGAACACAGTCTCGTAAGTTCAAATTTAAAGGTCGAAGCCGCGGATCATAGTCGAAAGTAAGTGGCCGGTTCCTTTGTTCTAGCAAGGGAAAAGCAATAACAAAACAAACTTAGCTGCTGCATATAAGGTAAAATTAGGTTACCTGTATCAAGTTTCCAGACAACTCTCATTAATAAGCTAGAAAATACAGCTGCCATTCTTTCAATTGTCCGATCGTCTATCTCTGACAGAATCGATCCAAACGACACAAGTATGACTCCCTCGTCCCCAGACCCCATGACAAACTGTTGAAGATCATCTGGGAGGGGTTTGGCTGGACTTGATAGCAGTGGACCAACCGCTTTAGTATCTGAAAGTATAAGAAGAAAGAAAATAAAATATACAAACTTCTGGTAGTCACCTTCCTTGGACACAGGGGTTTTTAATTAGTTTAAGGTGAATATGAAATCACCTGTCAAAGAGCATGCGTGGTCGTTCCACTGATGTTGACGTCCAACGGGAGACTTGGATTCACTTACATCGCTCAAAAAGGGAGAAAATGAGAGAGAGTGGGACTGGGGGAAGGGGGAATCTAGTGGAGATAAAGACTGCCCTTGATACTCTATCAGGGGTTATCGGGATACGGGATCTTTGCTATTTAGGTAGGTAATATGAAGATACGGGAAACTTGAGGATCAAACTAATGGGATACGGGATATTTAAAATAGAGATTCCGAGATATCGAACAAGAATTATAGAGATACAAAGCACAGAAATAAATGGGAAACAAAATATTGAGGCAAAAAAAATGGAAGGATACGGGATCCTCAGACCCTCCTCCTTATAGGGCCTCACCCGTGTGTCATGAGATTTTCACTTAGAAAAATTAATAATAATAATAATAATAATTATAATAATAATAATTTCTATTTATATAGCGCTCATATCCTGAGCTCATGGCGCTTTACAACACTGTGCGGGGGACTTTACCAGACTGCTAAGCAGTTTACAACCATTAAAGGTAAATCTAACAATGCCCCCTCCCCCCAATTCCTAGTAAACAGGCCAGACCACATCACAGTAATCTCGTGAGTGGGTTTTTTAACGTCCCCTGCCTAACCAAATTAACTAATCAATAGATGCAGGAGACGGGACCTACGGTTTATTCGTCCTTATCCGAGAAGACCAGAATGTCTATCCATTTCTTGATGTTATAGAAAGGTAGCACGTTCTCCTCAGTTATTTTAAGACCTTGAGTGTTGGTCCGGCCGGGGCTTGAACCCTCGACCTCCCGCACAACAGTCCGGCGCTCAACCAATTGAGCTAACCGGGAGGCGGTTATTGACTGTAAACACATGATTCTTACTCGGTAATAGAGGCCTTGGATAATCGAGGGGACCCGACTGAACAAGGATAAGGTCGACTTTCTGGTATGTCTCGTGGAGAGTTTTCTCTGGTGTGATGTTGTGCTTCATCTTCAGTGTTTCATAGATTCCATCAATATTATAACGACCCATCCTGTGAAGGAGGTATAGCCCAGTATTCTTTACTCTTTGTAGAAAATTCATGTGTTCGGTGAGTCCTGAGGTAATCTCGGGTAGGTAAGAAGGAAGTTGTGCAAAGTTCAGCGGTAATATCGAACCTGAACTGAGCGGACTCATCAGGACTGTTACATGAGTCAAGGAGAATTTATCTGCGATCAAAAACGAACACAAGAACAGTGCATCTCCAATAACAGCATCGGAAGATTTGATTTGGTTCATGACAACAGGGTTGCTGAGTATTGCATCACAATTGTACAACCATATTTTCATCAGGTTCTCTATCTTGGTCATGTCAAGTCTGTTGATATAATCCGTTGAATTGAATGCTCGAACACGTGGGTCTTTTGCGGCATACGTCTCACGTTCTCCAACAACAATCAGCACCTTATAAGGAAAAGAAGCTGTAAGAATAGCAAGAGAACTTGATTTCGATAGTCATAGCGGTAATTACATATACATAACGCCACCACGGAAGCACAAGTACGTAAGTGAATTACATCATACGCAGCCTGGGCACCAGGCCCTGCAGAGGCGATTTTTTGACTTGAAGAGGGGTGCATGAGGACGAACACGCGCGAAGGATTAGCGTGACTCTTTGGCAAAGTGTTTTCTTAGCGGTCTTAGAAATAAAATAGAGACAACACAAACTGAAATAGGCATCGGGCCGAGTCTAGTTTCATTATCGTACAGTGTGTTTTGTTTCCTTTCTGGACGATTACATAGCAAGTATAAATCTCCAGTGAATAAAGTTTGCATATATTACAATGGGTCCGTCCAAATTCTTGAATTAACTGAAGAAAAAAAAATGCAAAGGCTGGGGACGAATGGTGAGGCCATTACAAGTGTAAGATGATAATTGGTTTGAAATCATCATCTTATATTATTTTCTCAAAACGATACGGTTGCGCTGTAGTTATTTATGATAGATATGTTATTTAGCGGGGAGAGGTCAGCAAGGGCAAAAACTGTACGCCGAGGTCTTAGGAATGACCCCTGGCCTTACGAACAAATTGGTCAATTTCTGACATACACGGCTTTATCCTTCGGAACATAATGCATTGAAATGCCCGGTTGTGTAAATTCTACATACTGCGAAGATCATTTGGAGCCTCAGCTATGTATCAGGTTCCTGTTCTCTTCTTAATCTTTCCTTTCGAACTTTGCATTAGCAATATGATCACCGTTTGCTCCATCGGTGTTGTGTAGTAAGATGTAATGTGATCATTCGTGCCGCGCTACAGATATGGCACCAGTTTCGTAATTTCAATGCGTAAAAAATTAGAGAAAGAGAGGTCGCAACGCACTCAGGCCGATATTTCAATTTTAGTGACAAATATTACAAAGAACATGCCAAAGTTTTTCGCTTCAAAGGCGAGTACAGAAATCACTATGTGTTCAGCTCCATTTCCTCAAATGAAAAGCTACCTTAAATTGCGATCACAAGATGAGCTAAATTTACCTCATGTCCTCTGTTTTCCAGCTCTTGGCCCAGCCTTGCAAGCACCAAGTAGTGACTCTTACCAACCATAGGAATCATTGCAAATTTTGCAGCAAAGCAAATAGTTTGAAATGCAAACGACAATACGATGCAGCATGCAAGCCTTTGACTGAGAAACAAAGCCATGATAGATGCTGACGGTTTTCTAAATGTCGTAGACTTCTCGAAACGTGTGATGTGTTTCGTGAAAAGCAGCTCGTTCTGTTGTTGATCAAGCGCGTGGTTCCTTTATGGATACTCGGTTATGTGAATGTTTGCATTTGAGTTCTATAAATACATGTTACGTGACGTCACTAAAGATGATCAGAAAGTATTATCATAAGCAGATAAGAGGGAAGGGCTTTGACGGTTGACAGTTGTTCCCTATTGTGACTCTGCCTTTGACGGTTCATAGTTATTGGGAAGATATTTCTTTCGCGAGTTTAACTCAATATCAAATTTTGGTTTTTTGAATCTTTTAACAATACGAATTATGTTGTGTATTCAGGCCAAGACCTATTTAGTCTTTCTGTAACGAAGCGAAGTGAAGTTCATTTTAAGACCTCTAACAATTATTGCTAATTACTTTCAAACAATACCTTCGTTCTTGATATTGCTATGGGTAATAACATGGTTTCAAATGCAAATTTCGAGAAATTTTCTCTTCTTTTTTCTTTACCACTGATTGTAATCGCAGCCTCCTAAGTTTGTTGTTGTCAGAGGGACGATGGCAATACATGGTGAAAAAGTTGTTATATTTCTGTAACAAAAAGATTGCAATACACTATTTCGGATTTTCTTTCATCCGCCTCTTGCTGAAGCAAAAAGACACAAAGACCTGAAAGCTAGGTAAAATGCGGCTACAACGATGATTGACAGTAAAAGAAACCGAGGGAATACGTCCAAAACGTAAAGCTGATAAAATGGTAGATCCAGGCTTCGTCAGTGGTCTGGGGAACAACAAGTCATCTAAAGCTTGTACGCATTCCACCCAGTCAGCGGCTGTCTCTATGGTAGAACGCGGGCGCAGCTTGAGTAGACCTGGAAATTCTACCAGCATTGTCGCGGTAACTGAAAAATGAAAAAAGATATCATTAGCTCTCTGCATCTGTATTTAACAAATAGACGCAAATGCCATCTTGAGATGAAGAAAGACAACAGCATCGACAAATTCACGATCGATATTTTTTGACTAGCTATTGGCGTTGTGTAATCTGGCTTACCTTGGATTGTTAAGAACAGTGTGTATTTTAAGTTACCAAGACTCTCCTCAGTTATTGACTCTTTGTACAAAATCTCCCCCATCCCGAAGTGTTTACGGCTACAGAGTTGTCAAACTGGTCTCCGAATAAAGGCACGCAAATCAAGGGGACTCCATGGTACGCAGCCTCCGACATTCCATTCATTCCAGCAGGACCAATAAACAAACGTGTCTGTGAATGACCGAGAATTTCGTTTTGTGGAAGCCAGGAAGACACCTTAATATAACGTTGTCACCAAGGTGGAAACTTTTTCCGCCTGCTTAAAGGAAGGAAAGCAAAACACTTTAAAAATCTCGTGCTTAAATCTGGTTCTATGGATGCACACGCTATTAAAAAAACTTAATATTCTGCAAGGAGCATTGTTCTCGTTAACCATATCGATGCCATAGTCTTTAGTCTTTTAACTAGAATGTAAAAGGATCGCTCTCTTAAGGCTAATAAGGACAGGGGAGTGTTAAGATAGCATCTCAAACAGTACTTGTCGTCGAATCCTAGCTTCTCACCAAAAACAAAGAGAAGTGAACTTTGGTTTAATAATCCACCTTGGAACGTGTACCATTAAATAACCAACAACAGCACCTACGAAGCTACAACAACACACCGACCAAACTCACGGCTAAGTAACCTTTATCAAGTTTCCAGACAACTCTCTATGGTAAACTTGAAAACAAAGCTGCCATTCTTTCAATCATCTGATCATCTATCTGGGACAGAATCGATCCGAACGAGACAAGTATGACACCCACGTCCCCAGACCCCAAAACAAGCTGTTGACGATCGTCTGGGAGGGGTTTGGAAGGACTTGAGAGCAGTGAACCAACCCGTTTGGAGAGAAAACGAGAGAATAAAGGGAGGGAAAAGTGGGGGAGGAAGTCAAAAGCAGAAAGAGTAACGATTGAATACTGGAATGAATGGATGAAACTCACTGGGTTTTTCAATTTCCATTGTCTTCCCCTCCCTTTCTCGCTCAAACACAGAGCCTGAAGTTGAATTTTGGATAAGCATTTGATTTTAGATTTCCATATTGACAACAAACTCGTGTGATATTCGCTCGGTAAAGGAGGCCTTGGATAATCAAGAGGACCCGATTAAACAAGGATAAAGTCAACCTTCCGGTAAGTCGCCTGGAGAGTTTTCTCTAATGCGATGTTGTGCTTGTGTTTCAGCGGTCCTATGTGACTAACACAACGTATGCAGAACTTTGCAGGCCTGATTGTTCTAACGGTCCTGTGCATGGTATGCTCTAGGCGCCCCAAACGAGACTAAAGGTGTGGGGGATGTACCGAAAGTAAACACAAAACTAGCTTCCATCTTCCTCGCTAAGAAAAAATTTTAAACAATCCCCTCCCCTCCACCCGTTAAAAAAAAAACAAAGGAAAAACCTGGATCCACCCTTACGTACTATATCTTTTCATAAATGAACTGAGGGATAACAAGTAACTACTTAAAACGCACTGGTGAAGGTTTCGCTTTCCACGGTAGGTGGTGCCTGCATATTCGCGTTAACATAAATGCAGGGACGAAGTGTTAAGATTATACTTATCTTTCCATCACTTAATTAAAGGGATCTGTTCATTTAGTCTAATTTTAAAGCTTTTAATTCAATGCACACATCACAACAAGCAAAGAGAATATGAAAACTGACAACACTTTCTGGATTTTAAGTTTCCAGAAACCTGCGGTAGTTGAAGGAAACGGAGCCTAAACCTTGACCCCCAAGATCTGATCGTTAAATCTCCACTATGGCTGCTTCACATTTCCTTGTAAATTAGTTGCGAGAATTTAGTGTTAGATCAAGAAAACAGCCTCCGCCTGATAAGTTTGAGTATTCTCATTACCTGTTTGCTGAATGAAGTATGAATATAATCGGGAGAAGTTACATGTTAATCACTTTTCGGAGTGAAACGGGTTAAGCAGGACCATATCTGCTCCTTGTTGTTGTTTGAGGGACAATAGCAATACACGATGATTAAGTCGCCTCAGTGTACTTCTGTAATAAAAAGATTGCAATATACTAGTTCGGCTTTTCTTTCATCGGCCTCTTGCTGAAGCAAAAACGATACAAACACCTGAGAACTAAGTAAACAGCAGCTACAACGATAATTGACAATAAAAGAAACAGAGCTAACACATCCAAAAGGTAAAGTTGATAAAATGGTAGATCCAGGCTTCGTGGTCTGAGGAACGACAAGTCGCCTAGAGCTTGCGCGTACTCCACCCAGTCAGCGGCTGCCTCTATCGCAGAACGCGGGAGCAGCTTGATAGACCTAGAAATTCTACCAGCATTGTCACGGTAACTAAAAAAAAAGGCAAAAAAACATCATTAGCTCTCTGCCACTTAATTTTTTTTACAACAGCATCAACAAATCTGCGATCGATGTTTCATAGCCATTGGGTAATCTGGCTTACCTTGGATTGTTTAGAACAGTTTGTATTAAGTTCCCAAGACTCTCCTCAGTTATTGACTCCTTGTACAAAAACTCCCCCATCCCGAAGTGCTTCACGGCCGCAGAGTTGTCAAACTGGTCTCCAAAGAAAGGCACACAAATCATGGGGACTCCATGGTAAGCAGCCTCCAACATTCCATTCATTCCAGCATGACCAATAAACAAACGTGTCTTTGGATGACCGAGAATGTCGTTCTGTGGAAGCCAGGAGGACACTTTGACGTTGTCACCAAGGTGCAAACTTTTGCCCTCTATTTCAAGGAAGGAAGCAAAACTTCAAAACTTTTGGGAAAGACAAAACAAAACCGCGTAGACGCGAGTGCTTAATCGGTTCTATGGATGCACACGCTAAAAAACTTGATATTGTGCATGGAGCCTTGTTATCGTCATTGCACTCGCATCGAGGCTAGAGTCCATAAAGTAAACAGTAGAAAGATTGCTGTCTAGAAGTCAATAATGACAGGGGAGTGTTAAGAAAGCATCTTAAACAGTTCTTGTAGTCGAATACTAGCTTCTCACAAACAACAAAGATAACTGAACTTTGGTGAAATAATCCTCCTTGGAATGTGTACAATTAAATAACCAACAACAGCACCAACAAAAAGACACCGACCAAACTCATAGCTAAGTTACCTGTATTAAGTTTCCAGACAACTCTCTGTGGTAAGCTGGAAAACACAGCTGCCATTCTTTCTATTGTCTGATCGTCTATCTGGGATAGAATCGATCCAAACGAGACAAGTATGACACCCTCGTCCCCAGACCCCATAACAAACTGCTGAAGATCATCTGGGAGGGGTTTGGCTGGACTTGAGAGCAGCGGACCAACCAGTTTAGTATCTGGAAATAAATAATAGAAAGGAACTATCAGTTACGCTTATTGACCTCTGGTTGCAACATTCCCTTCGAGAGAGGCCACCCGCCTAATACGTTTGAGGTCAACATCGAGGTTGCTTGACTAAAAGCATGACTCATTGTTTTGCTGTTTGGACGTAAAAAATAGATTTTTAGTTTTTTTTTCTAAGATCGCATGAAAAGAGAGGAAACGAGAAAATGGATGAGTGAGAAAAAGAGGGAAAGCAAGGAATGAAATTCAGTGAGTTTTTTAATTGCAACTTTCTTTGCCTTTCTTTCTTGCTAAAACGGAGAGCCTGAAGATAGATTTGGATAAGCATTCTATTTTAGATCATTTAGTCAACAACGAACGTGTGATTCTTACTCGGTAAGTGGAATCTTGGATAATCAAGAGGATCCGATTGAACAAGGATAAGGTCAACTTTCTGGTAAGTCTCGTGGAGAGTTTTCTCCGGTGTTATGTTGTATTTCTTCTTCAGCGGTCCGTAAACGTTATCTCTTAGCGAAGGAACCATCAGTTTATGAGACAAGTATAGCAGGGTATTCTTCACCCTCTGCAGAAAATTCATATGATCAGTGAATCCGGAGGTGAAGTGGGGTATGTAAGAAGGAAGTTGTGCAAAGTTTAACGGGAAAACCGAACCCGTACTGAGAGGACTCATCAAGACTGTAACATGAGGTAAAGAGAATTTATCGGCGACCAAATACGAGCACTGGAACGCTGCATCTCCAATAACAGCATCGGAGGATTTGACTTGTTTCATGACATCAGGGTTGCTGAGTATTGCATCACAGCTATAAGACCAACACTTTACCAAGTGATCTATCTTGGTTGGGTCAAGTTTTGTGAAGTCATCCGAGCACTTGAATGTTCGAACACGAGGGTCTTTCGCAGCGAACTTTTCACAGTCTCCCACAATTATCAACACCTTTTTGGGAAAAATACAGAAATAAAAGCAAGTGAGTTAGTTTTTTGAAACTCAAGTGAATCTTGTGTTAAATAATTCACCACTGACACCTTTTATAGAAATCGTATATTGAGCAGGTGAGTTATTGTGGCGTCGCTTTATACAGCCCGCTTTCGGGCGGTAGTTTTTGTTTTCAACGGTGCGAGAGTAAGCACGGCAAATATTTGGTCGCCATATTGAACGGGTTGAAGATTTGTAGAGCACTGCACCGGTATCGCAGAAGTCACATGTTCAAATCCTGTACGGGCCTGAATTTTTTTCAGGCCCTATTTTCACTACTGCTTAAGTAGATATACCTCATTAGTATATACTAAAACAGTGGATGGCGTTGAAGGCGCGCTTTCATTGGCTAGTCAAACTCCGAATATCCTTTGCTATTTACCTCCGAGCAACTCGGAAAAAAATGGCGTCCCGGTTTGCATCCGTGACAAGCGAAGAAATCACTCAAATTAATCTTTGGTGGAGTACATTATCTCACTGTTTTAGTATATACTAAAACAACTATTCACCTCAGTGTCGGTGGTTAGCGGTGGATATTTACCGAGCCTCGAAGCGGTGAGGTAAATATCCACCACTAACCACCGACACTGAGGTGAATAGTTGTTAATTAGACGTTTTGTTGTGTAGTATCGCTGAGTATTTTTACGAGTTGTGCCGTATTTTGACGAGCCCATAGGGCGAGTCAAAATACAAACAACGAGTAAAAATACTCAACGATACTATACAACAAAACGTTCAATAAGAGATATATTATCCAACACTTCAAATTGTTATTTCAGTGCGGGAGAATTTCGCGGATATTTCTGTGATATTTGTACTCGTCTCGCGCGTTATTTGTACTCTACGAAGCTCTGTTGGATAATAATGTTCATTACTGCGATGATCGCTTTGATATTCATTTCTTAACCCGCTGTTCACAAATACAATTTTCATGTCATTACAAACCATCATAATGATCAGCTCCCACTTGGCTGGTTAGCTCAGTTGGTTTACACTGCACTGGTATCGCAAAGGTTCAAATCCCTTACAGCCCTGAATTTTTTCAGGCCTTGTTTTCACTCCTGATTGAGTAGTATTCATTACTGTGTCGATCGCGTGATATTCTTTGTTTCTTATCATACAATCAAAGAAGAAGAAACAGCGTGACAGCTTTAATTAATCAAGCTTTGACTATCGAACCATCGCATTTAAATTGCTGATTTCGCTATCTTTTCTTTTGGCTTCGCGCCTAAAGGCTTGCAAGAAATTCAAATAAAATGATCCGAGATGAAACTTCAGTGTTTTCACTTGACGGGTGCGCAGTTTGGGAACCGTACGACAGCAATTTTCGATGATGATCGGTTCGAAAACTCCTACCCAGCGTAATAAAGCGGATTTCGAGCCACAAAATTTCCTTAACTCACAAGCTGTACTATATTCTGATCTGGATGAACCTTTTTCTACTTCACCTTATGACCTCTGCTTTCCAATTCTTTTCCTATCCTTGCAAGAACTAGGTAGTGACTCCTACCCACCATCGGAAACATCGTGAATTTTGCAGCAAAGCAACCCGTCTGAAGTACGAGCAAATATACTAAGCTGTAGGTGAGCAAGAGACTTATCAACCCCATAGTGGCGTATCAAATGCTGTTTTTGTATACAGTAGAATTTTACAACTTTAGTTGAAGTTGCTAGGGTTATAAATGTTGCGTGCGTGCTCCGGATAAAATTCACCTTATGTAAATAACGCTGTACAGCTCAGAGTTGTGTAATCCATGCAAATTGCGTTACATTAATTATGCGAAGCCAGAGACGCATAAATCTTCATAGTTGAAATATTACGAGTGTCGTGACAGAGGGACAATTTTCGAATAAATTCAGCCACCTGTGTGAATCAAACCTTTGTCCACCAAATTCTAGTTGAGTACCACTAGCAATCGCTGGGAGCAAGAAACCTTTTGCTAAGCACTTGAAAAAGTCTGAAAAAAAAATGTATGTCAAATGTAGGTTGACGTCTGCATCTCAGGCAGCCAGCACGATCGCTCAAATCTTCCTTAAAGAGATTATATAGGGAGTGAAAGAAATAATTAAAAATGCAAACTACAATTCAGCGTCTTGTGGGTGAACTTAGATACCAGTGCAATTTAAGCTAAATTGCATGATCTCCCCTTCAAAAGAAGGAAGGTTGAAACTTCATCCACACCTACATGACACATGACAGTGCACGTACCCGCCTTCAAGTAACTTCGTTCGCCAAAATTCTTTCGAAAAGCAAACATTCCTTATCTTGGTATCCCTCATGTCAAATTATTTGAGTCAGAAAGCAGTTTCTTCCGGGTGAGACAAAATTGTTACACTCCCTGTTCTTCAGTGTGTTTATTTCCTGCTCCTTTCAAGTCCTGAGATCGTTTTTTCAGTCGAGCGATGAAAACCGCCTTTGAAACATTTGATTCTACATAAATGGTAAAATTTTTAATAGAACTGAAGACTTAAGAAGCAAAACCGATCCTATTAAGGGCCGTTAGCTTAAAAAAACCAGCGAACAAGCAAAAAAACCAAACAAAACAAAACAAAAAACCAAAACAAAAACAACAACAACAACAACAACAACAACAAAAACACACACACACACACACACACAATAAAACAATTAAAGTCTACTTTGTGGTGCTATCCTAACTGTCCTTGTTCTCCTTTCTGTCTAATCCTCCTTTTCCAAATTTTGACAGAAGAAGCTGATTCTTTCGGGTCCAGTCCGTCCTCGGAAAAACATTTGCCCCTCTGTACCGATCTACGACTTTCCCCTATCTAGTGATCAGTGATATTGTGTTGGGGGAGGGAGAGAGGGGAACAGTAGTCTCAGATAGACGCTCAGAATACGGCCAGACGAAAAAAAGATTAACTGTTCACGATTATGTAAAACTGGTAACTAGACAGAAATGGTGGCTAATTTGCCTGAAAATATTTTATTTCTTCAAGCTTCAAGAAGGCAGTCTGCCATTTAAGGAACATCTCTACAACGCTTTGAAATTAATCAGTAGGAAATTAATCAGTAGGAACATGATCATACGAGAGAGACTCGTGCAAACCTATAAAAATAATTCAGTGAACCATTTCTCAAGCTTCATCAGAAATTGTAAACGAGCTCAAGATTTTGTGTCAAATATTCTAGTCACTCTTCATATTCTGAAGACAAATAAACTCTTTCCTTATTGGAGAACCTAAGCTAAATATCGTCATTTTTCTAACGAAATCGAGCTTTACAGTCTGAGATTAAATCTTAGATTTCTTCTGTTACATTTCTTTGGATATGTCGCATAAGAAGTTGCTGTTGCTCAATCAGTTTTAACAGAAAACGATCAAATTACCAACGTTTTGAAGGGTAAAGTAGAGTTTATCGAGGAATTTGTACCATTCATTTCCTTCAACACGACAAAACTTGTTCACAAAATCTCAGGCTTGGGTAAAAAGTTGACACATTTTGAAAATATGAAAATTTTGATCGCTGTTACATGGATGGTAATTTTTTTAGCCATGGTGTTTACATATCTTCTAGACAAAATATAACTTAAGAAACCAAAATATTCTCTAAGTTTCAGCTCTGGGGCTAATACATTACTTCAAACCTTTATGCCATTGGTTGACAAATTTTCAAGGGGAAAAAAGTCTCAAATGACCCTTTGCTACCTATGTAACGGATCGTCACTGACAACCCCCCATATGATTTTTAAAAAAGAAAATTTCTCACTATAGAACGATAAGAAAAGAAACGATCGCTAAAATGTTCCATGAAGAAATTCTTATGGACTTTTACAGCGTAAAGATAATATCTGTCACTCATAAGTCCTCATCGTCGCTCCAGGCCCTCTTTTTCCTCCCGGTTACCCACCCATCGTTTGGCTCAGACCCAGACCCAGACCCAGACCCAGACCCGCCGGATGCTGATCCATAACCACTTTCCCAGCCATCTCCTGAACCAGAGCCTGAGGATACTGTAAAACATAAACACAAAGTCTGAGAAATGAAGAGGCGAGGGCCTGTGAGAACAAACAACAACAACATTGCAAAAAATATTCTATGTCGCTGGTTCAATGGCGAGAAGGGAGCGGCCATTGTTCATCGCCGTCGGAAGCAGGGGGAAGGGGGGGGGGACGGAGATCAAAGGATTTTGGTTGTGTCGCAATAAAGATTACCTTTTCCCCTCATAATGCTTTCTCTGTAGTGTTTTAATAATCCCCCTCTAATCCTCCTCCTCCCCTCCCCCCCCCCCAAAAAAAAATATCTGAAGAAAGAGGGCTACGACTCGAGGTCTCAATCACACTCTCCTTCGATGGCGACGAGCCTCACCGACTGTATTAAGTATAAAAAGAGTGGTGATATGCGGTACAGAAATAAAAAAAATTGAGATCTAGCTGAGAGGAAAGGGGGGGGAATCTATTTCTAATTGAAGAGCATTGTGCAGTGTTCAATACGACGATATCTACAAAGTTATAAAAAGAGAGCCGTAAGCCAACCAAAGCAATGCACTGCTTAAAAAAATTTAATTAAAAAAAAAAAAACAAAGCAATTCAAACCGGTCCAAACATCACAAAATAAACAAACAGAAAAAGGAAAGAAAAGTTGCAGTCAATCGGTTAAACATTTCAAAACAAACCGAGGAGAGTTCACTATGGACTCAAAATTTTTTATAATGCAATTTTTAGACAAACCTTCAACAGGGCACCTTTGTTCCCTGCAGTGTTTTTCTTCAATTCTTTCACTTTCATCACAGTGTTTGCCACCAAACTGAGGCATTGGTGAGTCACACTTCCGCTCGCGTTGTCTTGTTCCAATTCCACACGTCAAGCTACATCCTGACCAGTTGCTCCAATCGCCCCAGCCCCCGTCAACTTAAAACATCATCAATACAATTGTTTTAGATCTTAAATTTCCCTACTGATTCGCTGGTCTTCGAGCTTAGTTCACGTTCCTTGGCCCTCGACACTACTCCGGCAATACCCTCGCAGCATCTTAGACTCGCGTGATTATTTATTTTAATCTTTTAATGTCATTTTTAAAATGTAGTCGATACAGATTTTAAACTCAGTATCTGTAATTATACGCCCCTTTAATTGCAGAAATCAGCTCAACTGACAGAACAAGCGCGTTTTGCTTAATACTTAGTATCATTCTTTAAGCGTGGACTGTTGCCCATTTTTTTTTACTGTAATTTAACCCTCATATACCCAAAACCGCTTGCTTGTTCTCAGCAGTTAACGAAACTCCATCTCAAATTTAGTATCTGTAGCCTTACGCCCCTTAATTGATTGCAGGAATCAGCTTAGCTGACAGAGCAAGCGTGCTTTACTTACCTACTATCATTTCTTAGGCGTAGACCGTTACCTTTTTTTTTATTTATTTATTTATTTATTTTACTGCAATTTAACCTTAATATACCTCATGTCTCTGATCTATCGCCTAAAACCATTTGTTTGTTCTCAGCATTTGAAGAAACTCCATTTCAAAAGAAATCTTGTACACTCACTTGGGCATTTCTTCCGATCCATGCAAGATCTTCCATCTTCCAGTTTCCCCTGACAATCTTTGCCATTAAACTGTGGAGGAGGATTGGTACAGGTCCTAGTTCGTGTTTGGGTGCCATTCCCGCATGTCACCGAGCACCTTGTCCAGTTACCCCAATCAGACCAACCTCCATCGACTAAGGACGAAAAATAAAAGGAAGGAAACCTGTGAACTCTCTTAAAAATCATTGCAGCGAGTTAAGGTGAGTCCTCAGAAAAGAAAGTTATCGAACAAATATTTTTAAACTTTCCTTAAATATTCCATACTAATGTCTGTTTCATAAAAAAAACAACAATAAAAAAGACATGTCTTCGTGCTTGTTTAAGAGATAATTTGTGAGAAAATGACAAAAACTTAAACGGCATCGACTCAAAACGTTCCTCGAGTCGTTGCTTTCAAGGTTATAATTTGCATCATTGAGTAATGGGCTTCGTGCACACTTTTAGCAATATCTTTTATTCCCTTCAATGAATTTTTTTTTATTTCTCCCATTTAAAGGGATAATTTGTACACCATGAGCCAAACTCGTTCCCAGGGTCTCTTATCTTCCCTCCTAGCTCCTCTTCTCTCGCCCCAGGGGGCTGGAAGATAAGTGTATCTGTCTGTCTGTCTGGTTCAGTCTGTCTATCTGGCTGTTTGAACCTAAGTGTGCTTGTCAACACCACCTCACACATTCACAAAGGGTGACATTTTTAAGCTACCATCACAAATTAATCATCGAACAAAAAGTGACAAAACTCTGATATGAACCCTCCCACCCCTCCCCCGATACATACTTGGACATGGTGGTGTACCACAGCGTTTTAATTTCTCTCCTCGTCCCCGGCATTTTGGCTTTCCATTAGAGATACATTGTCTTTTACTGACTTGAAATGAAGGACCACACGTCGCATTGCAATTACTCCACGCACTCCATGGACCCCAGTAACTTGTTACTATGAAAACAAAAATATTTTAGACAATTTAAATTCACTCTCTCCGCCCGGGTGCTCATTTAAAATTTCGACTCCAAGGAAAGGCGCATATTTATGACCTGTACTGATTCTGGTCTTAAAGTGTTCTTAAAGCACCATTAAGGTCATCCAACACTTTGACCTCTCTGTTACGTCAAACGCCGTCATTTAACGCTTTATTTTTGTTCTTTACATCTCTTCGTTACCACGTGGGCTGAGAAAAATCCATATTAATGAACGTATTGTACTGCAAGGTCCATTAAAATTAAACCTGTTTTTGAAAAAGTCTCCTGTTATTTATCGCAAATTGTTGTTTAACTTTAAATGTGTGTCAAATCAAATTATAACATAACCAAAGTAAAGCACGCGCTCTAATTGGTCAATTCAGCGTCCACCATTTGCCCATGGGTATAAACTGCTGACGTGAGCAACTACAAAGACTAGTTTTCCGCGCACGCTTGTTTTTTTCTGGTCACGTAAGATTTGTTAAATAAAAGAATACTCTTTTGCTGCAATGTATCAATATTATGTTATAAAACAAATGGTAAACGCCACAGTGTACTCCATTAAGTTATGGATGCACTTGGGAGGTTTGCTAAGCACCCAAGAAGCTAGAGTCGCGCTCGGCTATCGCCTCGCGCGACTCGTACGCTTCTTCCGTGCTTAGAAACCTTCCACGTGCATCCATAACTCAATAGTGTACGCTGTGGTGTTTACCATTTGTTAAATGTTATGTTATAAAACAAACAATAAACGCCACAATGTACACTATAGAGTTATGAATGCACTTGGGAGGTTTGCTAAACACTCAAGAAGCTAGAGTCGCTCTCGGCTATCGCCTCACGCGACTCTTACGCTTTTCTCGTGCTTAGCAACCTCCCGCGTGCATCCATAACTCAATAGTGTACGCTGTGGTGTTTACCATTTGTTAAATGTGCTGACAACAAAAAAGGCTGAAAAACAATTTCGATTTGAATCGTTTTGAGTACGACGTGCGTCAGATGAAGCAGGCTGTTCCGCGTGAAAACAAAGCGTCTCACAAACTCCTAACAGACGCAGTAAATATATGATAAGTATCACCACCTCGATTAACTCGGCTCCAGTCGCAAATATAGTTTTCCAACAGGGGCAAATTACCTCTATTAGAAGTCTTACAAGGCTCACAGCTTTGCCTGCCTTTTCTTTTAGAGCTCCACCCTGCGCCACCATTTGAACAACAATCGACTTTCTGTTGCTTGAATACTTTCGCTTTTCCCTTGCATTCTCCAGTTTTTTTAACGTACTTCTTGTAACAAAATCCTTGCCCGGCAGCACGTCTTGCTTCTGCAAAAAGGAGAAGTGATAACATTTAAAGCGATTACAGGTAGGCTCGAGATAAACCGACACTTAGCATCAAGTGTTAGGCTGGGGGTGGAGTCGGGGCAAATAATATTTATTAAAGCTTCTTTTTCAGAAGATAATAAACTCAAGTGTCATATGACATCTATTCCGCCCTACAGAGCGGTCGTCTTCGAGGTATTTAACGAAGAAGCGAGAGTAGAGAAAGAGTACCTGGTCGTTATTTATTGAGCAGCCATACTTAATCTAAACACGAAGAAAGCCAGGGGGCTTGGGAAGGAGAGCCAAGAAACCTTCCTCCTCCCCTCAAGTCCTTCTTTGGCATATTATCCATCATCTCTCCCCTCCCTCAAAAAAAATTTATTTGTCTCCAAAGACTGCCAAGCACTAATGCCAGAAATATAAGTCTGTACAGCCACTTAATGTTTCTCAATCTGAATAAGTTTTAATCAAATGGGTAAGGAAAATCATACAAAGGTCAAGTCCGTAGTTTCTCCTTAAAATTATGTTAAACGAAAAAAAAACTTAAAAGCTGCATCATTTTTGTAAGACGGACTGTTGTTAGCCACAATGTTACCTTTTCAGAGTTTCTGTAAATTTTCAAGAACTCAGTTTTTTTATGTTTAAACTACATTCTGAATTTCTTTCTTCTCCGAAATCAGGCGACTGTACGTATTCTAAGCAAAAGGAATGTGCAATTTGATACAAGAAAAAGAAGTAAAAACTCCAGTTCTGTTTTTGCTGAAGCGTGCTTCTGGTGTTAAGTTACTACAAGTTCCTCCTTACACGGCAGCAGGCCGGTTGTATCCCTGCCCTAGTTATTATGTTTACTTAATCAACAATGGCAGGATAGAAGATAGGAGACGTTCGATATTTCTGGCACGAAACGTTGAAACTAAAGACTTATTTACAATAGACGCTTCGCTTTTTAATCGGTCCAGAAATTGATTTAAAAATTTTCAACGCAGACATTATTTTTGGTGACGTAGTCGAGGGAGGTATGTCACGTGGCATTTTGAAGTCCAAGAGAATTGGCCACAAATAGAATAAAACCTTCATCTTGACACACTACTTGGTTACTGTAGAAGAACAGCAACGAAGTAGACTAAATCAAAGATAAAAATAACGATTGCAAAGACGAAATACGTTAATCCCTAAATCCTTAAGATGGACAAACCACGGCATTGTCACTTAGAGGTCGAGACCCCAATTCCTGTGTGTAAATCGCCCCGGCTTATTCGATGGCTATATATTTTTTATGCGATACGCAGTTGCTCTCCTTCTATTTATCCGATTTGGTAGTCGATGACGAATAGTTACATGCACAGCGCGTTAAGATAAGCCAAAGTATGCTTTGTGTTCTCCGGTAAGAATATGCAGTATTTATTACGATCATGAGGCAAAGCAGGCCTCCAAAAACTTTCTTTTTTTTTAGCTACGGAATACCTCAATTAAATATATTAACTGATGACTTTAAAATCTGGAAAAAGGACCCAATCCTTGTTAGGCACTGATCCCTGATTATTGAAAAATTACCAGTTTAGGATTTCAAGTTTTTTTCTGGAACTTTGCCGGTTGCTTGGGATGAATTTGATACCAGTGGTTCTTTCTGGCAGACTAATACAGTTGGCAGGCGGCCCTAAATCAGTCCATTTGTGGAACTGAATACTCTGGTATAATCGTTTAAGTTGCAGATCATCCTTTCTCCCTTTCGAGAAGTTTGTTCCATATGCGTGGATGACCGAACGAGCTAGATTTATCTGTTTAGTGAAAAACGTTTGTTGCTCGAGGAGAACTCTGTGCTCATGGAGAGAAAACGGAATATAAAACTTACTGCGCATGGGGAGGGGGGAGTGTATTTGAGCTTTATCTTGATATGGGAGAGTGGGTGAGTGTTTTGAAATAAAAACAGTGTACCGTCCATTTTAGGACGAAAAGAAACCTTAGGGACCACAAGCCCTATTAACGACTAATAGATTTGATGTGATAATAGGAAACCAATTACAATGCTAAGAATTGGGAGCAAAGAAAAGGCGTCAGAATGTTACGACAGAACGAGAGGCTGGTAAAAGCAGTGTTTATGCTTAGATTAGCCTCCAGAACCGGTGTTATTTTTGCGTTTTTCAGGCGAACGGAGGAAAGTAAGAGGCGAACGTGAAGTGCAAGTCACGCACAGATGCGAGGATGAATTTTCACCCTAAACTGTTCGCTGGATAAGGTCATTGGGTAGAACGTCTGATACAGGACTGTCGTCCGAACCCCCCGGAAAATATCTTGCCCGTGGCGAACCTTGATTTATTAATTATCTTTTAAGTTACATACCTGCAATTTGGAGAAAGAAGCCGATACTCAGAACTAACACGGTCACCAAAACTATCCGCTTGAACATTTTTAAGATACCTTTGTCTCTTGTGGTAGAAATGTTCTTTTGAGGTGTTATAGGCGAGCTTCAAACAGTTGCAAGGGAGATGAATCGAGCGAACCAAATCTGCAACAAATTTAATCAAATGTTGACCCTTAGAATATTACACGGTGTTGAAATATAACTAATGAAATTTACAGCTTGATAATGCGATGATAAGAACCTTTATCGGTTCAATTGAATCGACAAATTGATATAACTGCAGTGAATTGTTTAGGCCTTTGGCAAGTTGAACTTCGATTGTAAGTGTTTCCTTTCTTTTCTTTCGTAGTTCGAACTACGGAAGGAAAAAAATCTGTAATTCTTGCAAAACTTAAGGAATGGTCTCGGGAGCAGGGAAAACCTTGGTCCTATGCTTTTTTCATTGCCTTCGACTTTGATATCGGGCAACTGTAAAAGCAGGAAAATTTAAATTGGATGTAGAGGAAAGTATGGCTCAAGTTCTGATCTTGCTGAAAGCACGTTCTTGTCCTTAGTTCCTCTTTGCCATACAGGAACTTCAGTGCCTGTTAACGTAACTTACTATGTTTACTGAACCATGAATGGCACTGAGAAGAAGGGCACGATCTGAATACGCGCGAAAGAATCGATCAAGACGCTAGTTGGAATGCCTTTCTCCCTATTAGCAGATTTGACTTTCTGACGTATCTTTTCACTGTAGCAAAGCAAAAGATCAATAGAACGCATCATTAAGTGAAATATGTGTGCGTTAAAGAGGATGACAAATTGCTAATTTTTTTCGCGTGCGCCAGTGTTGACAAAGTTAAAACAAGAGATGGTGATCTTTTATGAAGCCATAAATAACTTACCCAGTCATTGCTGATAATCGTTGAAACTGGTATTTGGCGCGCGGCGAAAACGCGAAACAGACTTAGAAACGATGCAGTTAGACAACAATTACATGCTTATCGACCGCATGGGAAATAACTGACCTGAAATGACGGGTGGGTGCACCGGGTACTTGTTAGCTAAATCGAACACAAGCTGTTAGAATATTCATAAGAAAAGCATTGACTACTTACTAAATTTTCCACTGTGAGAGCGTTTTAGTCATAACAGATTTTCCCCAACAACTGAGACTTCTTCGATCCCTCGAAAGACTCATAGAGTGTGTGACGTCATTCTAATATCACGTCCCGCTGTGCTTAAGCGTGCGAAGGGTCGAAATTTACATCCAATTGGACAAAGCTAAGGTCAGAAGCATGCAAGGAAGTTCATTCCACCGTTTCCTATCCATCATGTCAATAACTAGGTAGAACCTACGCTTCAGCCAATTCGGTATAAAATAAACCGAACGCTGCTGAAACAGAAGCGGAGCAATTCCTCATGCAGATATTTTGATCACGTCTCTCAAGGGCCACGCGCGCTCATTGGTCGATGCCAGATTGTTAATTAGTTTATTTAGAGCGATAACAGGTTCATTTCGAAGTAATTCTAAAAATATCGATGAATACAGACCTCAGTGCTGACGAATAAGTCGAGAAGTACTTCTACTTGTCAGTTCAGTTGTCAGACGGACTCTAAAGACGCTTGCATTGCCGCTCAAAGCTCGATACAAAAAGAAACATTTCACTCATGTCAGTGGCTTTAAAAATTTCAACCTTCAGGCAATTCACCACAGGATAAAGCATGTACTGAAGAATGTTTAATAATCAAATTTCTATTGTTTAAATACAGTGACCAAGTGTCAACTTCCTTCGGTTTGAGCTATCAATCAAATATGACCTTTAAATCGTTCATCGCTATATTGCTGAAGGTTTCTCTTTCAGTTTTCCCTTGGCGAACTCAGCGAAGACTAAAGGAAGAGAAATGGGTTAAATTTTATTGACAAAAGGTCACAATAGGACAATCTTCTCCAATTAAAGTACTCATTTCAAGGTGTTACTTTACTTTGGGTTAATTGGATCAAATTGTTAGAGGCTGAATTCCGAGTAAAATAAAATTTCTTCAATTCTTTTGAGGTACGTGCGATAATCTGCTTCACTCATCAACTACAACAAATTGTTCTGATAAATTTTCATGGAAATCTTTCAAAACACACTTCAGTCGATAATGTAGACAATACTCGCACAAACAATCACCAGACTCCTTTGTCGGAAATAACAAAGAAGCTTTCAAAAGGATTTGTACACAGTAGTGCGGGGTATGCAGTAAAACCTGTATGTCAAGCAGACACTAGCCCCTGTTAAACCTGCGCAGTTGTGCAATGGATATCTCTACCAAGCGGACCCAAAATTCAATAAAATTAGACTGATTTGTTCCATGAAACCTATTTTGAGCGGAGGACGTTAAGAAAGATATTCAACTGAGTTTCATTTCATCCGATTTCCAGTTTAAATTAACATATCGTCTTTACCTTTAAAACGTTTATTCGGAGAAATGAGCTGGTGGTATGCCAATCAAAGGGAACGATTCTAAAGGTTGCCGATTATTTGCTCGGCTCTTTGTGGGTTTTGACAATTAACTATAAATAACTTTCTGGAACCGGTTAAGAACGGACTGAATACCAAGAGTTCAATTTGTGTTCTCTATGAGCATGTATCACTGGAACTCGTTATAACTTCACCCCATGAAGGAAATCATCCCCCACTCTCAACGGTCCCCCCGTCGTTTTCAAATTTTGCCTCTTCCCAGTCACCTTCCCTTCCTCCTGTTTCACCCTCTCCCCCTCCTGTTCCACCCTCTCTCCCCCTCCTGTTCCACCGTCTCCCCCCTCCCGTTCCACTCTCTCCCCTCCTGTTCCACCCTCCCCCTTCCTGTTCCACCCTCTCCCCCTCCTGTTCCACCCTCTCCCCCTCCTGTTCCCCCCTCTCCCCCTCCTGGTTTTCCACCCTCTTCCCCCTCCTGTTCCACCCTCTCCCCCTCCTGTTCCACCCTCTCCCCGTCCTGTTCTTCTTTCGCCTGTGCTCTACTCAGTTCGCCGTTTTAAGCCCCAAGGTCATGAACAGGCAAGTTTCCTAGAAGTATCATTTACGAGTCAACAATTAGGGATCATCTTATCTTGGCCCTCAGCCGAATCTATTGAACAATGAATTTAGTTCCTCATTTCCAGTCTGGGGACATGAAAGTTGAATACTCAGCAGAACTTTCTTCCATACGAATCAGCAGAAAGGGTGTCTTGGATGACTGCCATACGTGTTACATTTTTATTCAAAATCTTTCCACCGCATATAATGCAAACGTCCGCGTATATCTGATAACTGCACTTTCATCGTTCATTATTTTCGTTCGCACGCGATTAGGTTAAACGTGTCATGTTACGGAATGTGCCCAGCACATGTGAAATAAAATCAGCAAGTACACTGTGGGTACAAGCTCAATGAGCAAATTTCGTAGGTAGATTTCAAGAAATATTTTAATCGAAATAAGACAGCAATTTATCTCAATTTTGTTTCAATATTTACAACCCATAGTAACGGAAATGGCAAAAATTAAAACATTTCCATTAATGCTTGTTTTTCTGTCGATGCCACTCTGTATGCTGGTCCATTGCCCACAGGTTCCCACCGCATTTTGACGGTTGTCTCTTCCATCTGGTACCCTAGTACTCTTCCTAGGTGGAGAGAGGCACCGGAAGGGATCAGGGTCTTGTCTAAGAACAAGAAACCCGGCCAGTATTCCAAACCCCACCTTCTGTTACGGAATGTAATGTGTAAAAAATGATGTGCATGAAAAATAGAGAAATTACTTGGTAAGAAGGGACTTTACCTCTAATGTTATTGCATAGACATTCATTTGAAACCAAGTTATTTGGAGTCCATGGTTGACTGGTTTAGGCTGCAGCTAAAGGCGTTGCTCGGCATCTTCTCTTGACCAAATACACGATACCAGAATCAAAAATTCTTTGCTGAATGTGAGTCTTAGTCCTTCTTCTCGATAAACGCGTGTTGTTTCGTATTTTCGCGTGTAGCGTGACGCATTTAATTTGTCAGACTGGGAACTGCTCAGAAGCAAATCCACTATGGCGGAGGCGATAACATGGATAAGGAAAAATGGAATGAACGGCCTATTTTAATCAGTAATACCAGAAGTAGGGGCGAAATTGGCACCTAAAACATCAGTTGCCTTTCAACATATGTTGAGCCTCGGTTGATTCTGTTTGGATGGAGCAAATAACACCTAAGTGGTTTAAAATACCTGAAATTAAGTGAAGACCACAGGTTGAAGCTATAATATACCCCCCCGGGCAACCCCCCGGGGCATCTAAACTTTGGAAAATTGGTTTGTTTAAATTCCAGCTCCCGGGCAAAAACAAAACGTTCACATGCCCCATATAAGCACAAATTTTTATTGAACGCCGGATCCATTGTGTGATCAACGAATGTTGAATCAAGCAAAGTCACGTATTAGTTTTTGGTGCACCTGTTTGGTTTTTCGCATTTTACTATGTAAAAAAACTTCCTTCTGACCCGTTTGCTCGCGAAAGCCGACTTTACCTTTAAAACCCTCCATATTTACATAAAAATGCGTGTTCCATTCACCCAAACTCCCCACCCCACCCAGGCAAGGTTCAAATTCCCAAGTCAAATGTCCGTGGGTTTATACCCCGGGGGAGGGAGTAGGGAATGTAAGTTGAAGCTTCGAATTGATCGGCACAAAAATTTAGATCAACTCTCAGAGGTTAGTAAATAACTACCTGACGTCTCTATTGTTATGCTTACTGTTAATTTTAGTTCCCAAGTAAGCTTTTAGTGTGATCGGATTGTTGATCTTCTTTGCGCAGTTCTTTGTATTTAGACGGCCGGCGCCTAGGAAATTAAAACATTTAACACCTTGAGCTGTGAAAGTTCGATTTTGCAATTGTATCGTTAACTGATAGATTCGATGTTGCCGTGCTTCTGTTCAGTAAATGATCACGAGTGACGTCAAAATGTCATAAGAACAAAGGGAAACTACGTAATAGGGACTTAAAAGAAAACCACGACAGCGACGCCAACAAGAATGTAGGGAAGCAAAAGATCTAGGGAACAACACGATAACGCAGAAGGTGCGTTTTAAAACTTTGTATATTTCTTTGCTGTCCAATACAGAGCATCACCAACTTTTAACAGCGACTTTCTGTAAATACCACGGATAGGTGTGCAAGATGGAAAAATCGAAATCTCCCAAACTCTGTCACATTAAAGCCCTTATGAAACTATTTTAGAATATACAAGACTCAGTTTCTTGTGATTAATATTTTCCGAAAATATAATTTTTTTGAATTTTCACCTCCGAGAGGCCCTTAAACCACCGAAAAATGTGCCTCGCCGATCCTCGCGTGGTGAAAAGAAACGAAATCAAATACCATGACTACCATGTCTATTGCGATATAAAATGATTTTATGACCCTTCCTACGTATGAAAAACGTTGTTGTAATTTCAAAAGATTCCAATCTGAATTTTTAATTTTTTTTTCAAAATCACCCTCTACAACACATCGTGACTACCAATTTTGTCATTTTTCAACGGAAAAAAACCCTTTCTGGTACATGGCTTTCGTTGTGCAAATGCTATTCCAGAGAAAGAGCGATCCTTTTTCTTTCAATTTATGAAATAAAATTTTGGGGCAATTCAAACGGCAAGTTTTGAGCACTGAAAACATCAACGGTACTTGCGTGAAATTTACAACTTTTGAACTTGCGGTTGCAATGACGAATACAAGCAGTACAAGAGTGAACTTGGACAGCGGTTTAAATACTTCGAGAATTCGATACTTTTCTACCAGTTAAAAAACTAAACAAACGATTATGACTTCGTAGTGGCAATTATCTGAAAGGAAAAGCATTTTTAT